TGAGTCACCAAGCATTTCTCCTAGTTTGGGTCCCACAACCACCCCATCAAGTTCACCGAGTGGCAGTCCCAGTGCAACACCTAGTGTTGGGCCTTCTGCATCTCCATCCAGTGGACCCAGTAGTTCCCCTAGTGGCTCGCCAAGTGTAGGTCCAAGTGCAAGTCCCAGTGCAACACCTAGTGTTGGGCCTTCTGCGTCCCCATCCAGTGGACCCAGTAGTTCCCCTAGTGGCTCGCCAAGTGTAGGTCCAAGCGAAAGTCCCAGTGCGACACCTAGTGTTGGGCCTTCTGCATCTCCATCCAGTGGACCCAGTAGTTCCCCTAGTGGCTCGCCAAGTGTGGGCCCAAGTGCAAGTCCCAGTGCAACACCTAGTGTTGGGCCTTCTGCATCTCCATCGATCAGTCCATCAGTTGCTCCCTCTGGATTTCCATCTGCCTTCCCCACCACAAGTGACTACACATGTGAAGATTCATGGGCTATTGACATGACCATCACCCCCATTTGCCTTGAAGACATGGGGTATATACTGGCCGATTTGGATGGTCTAATGGAAAGTATGGAACTTCTGAGTGCTACAAATGCGGCTGCGGAGGTGACATGACTGTTGGGACTCTGCCTCGATCACCAGCCACTGTCGATGGCTGGCTTACCTGATTTTGCTGAGAGATCCATGAGACCGTGAGCACCAGCAGAGTCTCTTGCGTGGACAACCCTCCAACTGTCAAGATTGGGCTATGACTTTGGTGGTAGATGGATGGTTGCTCTGGTGGCTCCCATGATTATGACAGCCTCACTAAAACAAAGGGAAGCTGTGACATGGGTGAAAGTGATGTTTGATCTTTTGATTTAACTTGTTCAAGTCCCGATGATGGTCAATTCATTGATGCACTTATAACTCCCAGTGTTGACTCTGTTGTCATAATGAAGGGAGGCAATGGGGGTGTAATCTATGATGGATTGAAGGCCAGGTTCAACATACACACTAGATGTTGGACAGCGCAAGGGAATCAGCCACATGGAGTTCTGCTTCCGCTGTGATGGGCCATGCAAAAAGTCGGAACCTCACCCACACTGGGCCAACGCGCATGCTGGTTGCAAGCAAGTGCATTGCTGGATCGAAGACAGCTCTACTGATGCTTGCATTGAGTCCTGTTTCCATGGATCTCTACACGGGCTCCAATGAAGGTTGTGGACCCAAGTGAGAGAAGACAGGAACTGTTTTTGTGAATCCAAGTTCAGATGGAAAGACTGCAACAGTAACATACCAGACTGTTGGCAACTTTGTCATTCAACAGACTCAGCTGTACATTGGAGGAGAGGAAGTGCCTCTTGTCCAACCTGGTGATTTTGATTACTCTCATGACAGAAGGCTCCCTTTCCCCCACCACAACCACCGGAAGATTTATGTGGTAGAATTGAAGTCTTGTGATTTCTACATTGCGCAGTTGCCAAGATCTGTGGTGAATTTGACACATTTGCCCAACTGAAGTCCAATCACAACGCCTTCTGACAGCCCCAGCGAACTGCCAGTCCCCACCTAGTTCGCCCACGCATCACCCAGTAATTATCACCAGTGATCACCTAGCAGCAAGCCAAGTGTTTCCAACGTTCTGTACCAAGTCTACACTGATACTCAAGTGCACACAAAGCATAGCACCAAGTACACCACAAGCTGGTCTCACTATCAGCCCAAGCTCCTCGCCAAGTGAATCGCCAAGTCTGGTCCCAGTTCTAGTCCTCGTCAATTCGAGCAAATCGCCCAGCTCGCCCTGTGAATCGCCCAGTCTCCTGCCCGAGCGAATCCCCCAAGCACCTCTCCCAGTGCCAGCCCCAGTTATCACCAAGCCAGTGGCCCCAGTTCATCACAAGCATGGCCCCTAGACGAATCACCAAAGCACCAGTCCAGCGATATCCCCAAGTGCGAGCCTACAGCATCACCAAGTGCAAGCCCAAGTTCATCTCCCAGTTCATCACCAAGCAGAACGCAAGTTTGGGCCCAACAACAAGTCCAAGTGCCACCCCTAGCACCAGCCCAAGTAGCTATCCCAGTAGAGACCAAGTTCATGCCAAGCTGCAGACCGAGTTCATCACCAAGTGCAGGACCCAGTCACTCCCAGTGCAGTCTCAGTGAATCACCATGCTCCCAAGTGCCAGTTCCAAGTGGATCACCAGGCTTCCAAGCTCTTCTCCCAGTTCGAGCCCCAGCAAAACTCCATGTTGGCCCTCAAGCAGCCCATAGCGCTTCTCCAAGATAATCAAGCAGCACGCCCAGTTCATCGCCAAGCGAGTCACCAAGTTAAAGCACCTAGTTGGGACCAACAGGAAGCCAAGTTCTCACTCAGTTCCTATCCCATGAAAGCCCAAGTGACCGCCAAGTAGTTCACTCAAGTTTCCTCCAAGCTTGGGTCCCACAGCACCCCATCATAAGCACCCGCGATCAACCTAAGCATTGCTCTCAGTTTGGGTCCACACCCCCATCAGCAAGCCCAGTGAGTCACCAAGCCATTGCTCCTAGCTTGGGTCCCACAACCACCCATCCAGCGAGCCAGTTGAGTCACCAAGCATGCCCCTAGCTTGGGTGGCCCACAGCCACCCATCAAGTTCAACGAGTGGAGTCCAAGTTGCAACACCTAGTGTTGGGCCTCTCTGCATCTCCATCCAGTGACCCAGTAGTTCCCCTAGTGGCTCTGCCAAGTGTGGGCCAAGCAAAAGCCAAGTGCACACCTAGTGTTGGGCCTCTTGCATTCCATCGATCAGTCCATCGTTGCTCCTCTGGATTTCCATCTGCCTTCCCCACCACAAGTGACACACATGTGAAGATTCATGGGCTATTGACATGACCATCACCCCCATTTGCCTTGAAGACATGGGATATGGCCGATTTGGATGGTCTAATGGAAAGTATGGAACTTCTGAGTGCTACAAATGCGGCTGCGGAGGTGACATGACTGTTGGCGACTCGGCCTCATCACCAGCCACGTCGACTGCGCTGGCTTACCCGATTTTCTGAGATCTATCATGACCTCCCTGCACGAGTCTTTCAGGGCAACCCCAACTGTAGATATTGGGCTATGACTTTGGCTTGGAAGATGGAGGTTTGCTCTGGTGGCTCCCATGACTATGATAGCCTACTACAAGACAAAGGGAAGCTGTGACATGGGTGAAAGTGATGTTGGATCTTTTGATTTAACTTGTTCAAGTCCCGATGATGGTCAATTCATTGATGCACTTATCACTCCCAGTGTTGACTCTGTTGTCATAATGAAGGGAGGAAATGGAGGTGTAATCTATGATGGATTGAAGGCCGGTTCAACATACACACTAGATGTTGGACAGCGCAAGGGAATCAGCCACATGGAGTTCTGCTTCCGCTGTGATGGGCCATGCCAAAAGTCGGAACCTCAGCCCACAGGGCCCAACGGCATGCCTGGTTGCAACAAGTGCATTAGGGGATCAGAAGACAGCTCTACTGATCTTGCATTGAGTCCTGTTTCCATGGATCTCTACACGGGCTCCAATGAAGGTTGTGGACCCAAGGGAGAGAAGACAGGAACTGTTTTTGTGAATCCAAGTTCAGATGGCAAGACTGCAACAGTAACATACCAGACTGTTGGCAACTTTGTCATTCAACAGACTCAACTGTACATTGGAGGAGAGGAAGTGCCTCTTGTCCAACCTGGTGATTTTGATTACTCTCATGAAGAAGGCTCCCTTTCCCCCACCACAACCACCAAGAGTTATGTGGTAGAATTGAAGTCTTGTGATTTCTACATTGCCGCAGTTGCCAAGATCTGTGGTGAATTTGACACATTTGCACCAACTGGAAGTCCATCCCTTTCTCCAAGCATCAGCCCAAGTGGATACCCAACTGAGAGTCCTAGTGCACCACCAAGTGGCTACCCTAGTGCGTCACCCAGTAGCGGACCCTCGGCATCTCCAAGTTCTGGCCCAAGTGAAAGCCCTAGCAAGGCACCAACATCAGGCCCCACCACAAGCCCAAGTGCATCGCCCAGTTCTGGCCCCAGTGCATCTCCTAGCTCTGGCCCCAGTAGCAGTCCTAGTGCATCCCCAAGCTCTGGCCCCAGTAGCAGTCCTAGTGCATCCCCAAGCTCTGGCCCAAGTGCATCTCCCAGTTCTGGCCCGTCGGCTTCACCTAGTGCATCTCCCAGTGAATCGCCGAGCGAAAGCCCCAGCAAGGGGCCAACAGGAGGTCCAACCCCCAGCCCCAGTGCATCTCCTAGCGGAAGCCCAAGTGGAAGCCCTAGTAGTTCACCCAGTGGAAGCCCTAGTTCTGGTCCCTCTGAATCCCCCAGTTCAAGCCCGAGTGAATCCCCCAGTTCGTATCCCACTGATTCGCCAAGTGCAAAACCCAGTGCATATCCCACTAATGTCCCAAGTGCGTCCCCTACGGGTGGCCCAACAGGTGGGCCTACTCCAGTCCCCTCCGATGGACCAACCACATCTCCAAGTGGCTCTCCCTCCGATGAACCAACCACATCTCCAAGTAGCTCTCCCTCCGATGGACCAACAACCTCTCCGAGTAGCGCACCCAGTTCATCACCTACTACCAGCCCTAGTGCTGCACCGAGTTCCGGCCCAAGCGCTTCTCCGACAGGTGGCCCCTCTGGTTTCCCAACCGAGAGCCCCAGTGCTCCCCCCAGCGCTAGTCCAACAGGTGGCCCCACTGGTTTCCCAACGAATGTTCCCAGTGCTTCCCCCAGCGCTAGCCCAACAGGTGGACCCACCACTAGCCCCAGTGACACCCCCACCACCAGTCCCAGTGACACCCCCACCACTTCTCCAAGCAGTGTACCAACCACATCACCCTCAGTTTCTCCAAGTGGCACACCATCCATTAGTCCATCGGGAAGTCCCACAGCTACACCTTCACTGTTCCCAACCACAAGTGAATACGAATGTCTAGACACATGGGCCTATGACTCAACTTCACCACGATGCTATGTTGGAACTTCTGGTGATTGGGCTTTCAGTAACGGTCGTTATGCTGCCTCTGGTTGTGCTGCTTGTGAATGTCCTGTTTGCAGTGCGGGTGCAGCACCAATGCCTGTTGGTTCGGGTGATGACATGTGCACATGTATCTGCCCACCAGGTGGTGATGGAACTGATCTCTCTGCAAGTCCTGTAACCATGACGTTGTACTTGGGATCAACGGCATCAAGTGAATCACCTGACGACTGTAGACCGCAAGGTGAAGAAATTGGAAGTCTTCACATCATCCCTAATGGCAACGGCACGGTCACGGTTACATACAGGACATACCACGCCTTCGTCATCCGAAAGACTCACTTGTATGTGGGGGATGAACCATTCCCTGTTGATGGAGGAGGGACCCTGAATGAAATCAGCACATTCCCTTTCAATCATGATGAAGGCACACATCACACAAAGCTCACTTCACAGTCATTCCTTGTTGACATGGCATCTGTCATGTCTGGTTGTGACTACTATGTGGCTGCAGCCGCTACTGTGTGTGGTGATTTCAATACTTTCTCCCCCACTTCTGCCCCAAGTGCCTTCCCCACGGAATCACCAAGTGCTTCTCCAAGCGCCTATCCTACAGAAAGCCCAACTGGGGGACCCACCCCAAGCCCAACTGGATTCCCAACCAATGTTCCAAGTAGTTCACCAACTGAATCGCCAACAGGTGGGCCAACTCCCAGTCCAACTGAATCGCCAACTGGTGGACCAACTCCCAGTCCAACTGAATCGCCAACTGGTGGGCCAACTCCCAGTCCAACGGAATCGCCAACGGGCGGACCCACCCCGAGCCCAACTGGTTCACCAACTGGAGGACCTACCCCCAGCCCAACTGGTTCTCCAACTGGAGGACCTACCCCAAGCCCATCTGATTCTCCGACTGGCGGCCCAACCGGATTCCCAACAAATGTTCCAAGTAGTTCACCAACAGAATCTCCGACCGGTGGCCCAACTGGATCACCAACCGGTGGCCCAACTGGATCACCAACCGGTGGCCCAACTGAATCACCAACCGGAAGCCCCTCAGGATTCCCCACAGACTCCCCAAGTGCTTCTCCAAGCGGCTATCCTACAGAAAGCCCAACTGGTGGTCCCACCCCAAGCCCAACTGGTTCTCCAACTGGAGGACCTACCCCAAGCCCAACTGATTCTCCAACTGGTGGCCCAACCGGATTCCCAACGAATGTACCCAGTAGTTCGCCAACAGAATCCCCAACTGGTGGGCCAACCCCCAGCCCAACTGATTCACCAACTGGAGGACCAACTGGTTCACCGACTGGTGGGCCCACACCGAGCCCAACTGATTCACCAACTGGAGGACCAACTGGAGGGCCAACTGAGTCTCCAACCAGCTCTCCCACTGGTTTCCCAACTGACAGCCCAAGCAGTGCACCAACTGGATACCCAAGTTCGGCCCCATCTTTGCCCTGTGGCCAATGCGCGGAAGGTTGCTATGCTGTTGATCAGGATGCCCTAGTCTGTGATGAAACTGCCTATGCCTGGCGTGGCCACACTGGACATCCTCTTGATGGCAGTTGCTTCCAACCCAGGTTCAATAACTGGGGATGGACCAGTGGACCCCTCTCACCTGGTGATTATACCATGGATATTTGGGCTGGAGCTGTAGGGTGTGTCAGGGATAGAGGTGCTCTTGTTGGAACATTGAATTTCAGCTTTGATGGCCTTGGTGCAACTGCAACTTTCACCTTTGACACTGACAGTGGCTACAGCATGAAGGAAACACATTTGTATGTGGGTGACTCCGAATACCCTACATTCATGGGAAAAGAGACGGTCTCTCCCGGAAAATACACTGCCATCCATGAGGGGTTGGATGGTGCTGGCACTGACAGCTACACATTCACTCATGTGCCAACATTCACCGATACCGATGGTGTTGAGAAGGTGTGGGTCATTGCTCATGCTGTCTCCTGTACAGGAGGCGCATATGCTACTGAGGAACACCGCTGCAGATGTGTGTGCCCAACTGAGAGCCCGACAGCTGTACCAACAGCTACACCAACGGCATTCCCAACAAACACCCCAAGTGGTTCACCAACTGGTGCACCTACTGGCGGGCCCACCCCAAGCCCAACCGACGGGCCCACCCAAAGCCCAACTGACTCTCCTACAGGTGGGCCCACTCCCAGCCCCACCGATTCACCTACAGGTGGGCCCACTCCCAGCCCCACCGATTCACCTACTGGTGGACCCACTCCCAGTCCCACTGATTCACCTACTTCCAGTCCTACTGACCCCCCCACTGGTGGACCCACGCCTAGCCCAACTGATTTTCCGACCACTTCTCCTACTGCTGCCCCTACTGGCTGCGGAGCCAAGTCCCTTCCCTCTGGAGTGTCCTTTGGAACATACAGTGGTAACCCCCAGTGTCACTCTGGCGGCAGTAGTACGCCATTTGGATTTGATTTTGGATGGAAGATGGATGGCTGCTCAGCTGGTACCTACTATCTGGACTCTGCCCTCTCTGGAGGAGAGATCAAGGGAGCTTGTGACATTGCTGACAAGATCAAACTCACTGTTGAGTGTAATTCTGACAAGTCTGCCACTATTTCTTGGTTTGGTCAGGGAGATTCCATCATGGCCATCAAGGTGAAGGGCGGAAATGGTGGAACACTGTATGATGCTGGTGGCAACAACGGAGGCAGATTCATTGCAGGTTATAACAATGGTGGCAACGTTGCGGGCATTAGTCACATTGAAATCTGTCTCAACTGTCAAGGCTCAAGTTGTTATGAAGACGTCACTGAAGCTCCCACTGAAGGTCCCACTAGTTTCCCCACAAACACGCCAAGCTCAGCACCAACTGAATACCCCACAAATATGCCCAGCTCTGAACCTACAGCCTATGAAGTGTCCCGCAAGCGTGTTTTGGAGGATGAACATGCCCTTGAAGACAAATATGGTGAAGTGTGCGGCAAGCAGATGTTCTTTGAGGACTTTGACGATGAGTGGGGTGGTGCCTGGGGTGACATTCCCAGTGATGCATCCAAGAGCAAATTCCTACACCTTGTCAATGACGGTGAGAACCACAAGGTTGAAAAGACCTTCAGTGTCCCCAGAGACGCCCTCCTGGTGACTCTGGAGTTCATGTTCTATGAAATTGGTAGAAATGAGAAATCGGAGGGAGCCTGTATCAATGTCACAATTGGCAACACAGCTGTCAACTTGGATACTTTTGGAGCTGATGATGAGCTTGAAATTGTCTCAAGTGACTTAGTTGATGGTATCAGCTGGTCTCTCACCAGCATCAGTGACAACGGTGACCTAGGCCTTGCTGCCAGTAAAGGAGCAGACCAGATGCACAAGGTGAAGCTAGCTATTCCTTCGAAGCACTTCCAGGAAGGCATTGTTGACTTTGGTCTTGAAGTTCAAATGAATGCTGATGACAGTGATGAGAGCATTGGCCTTGATGACTTCCGAGTTGTGGCTTTTGCTCAATCCTGCGATACCTTGCAAACTCAGGCAACCTTGCCAATGGAACAAGATGCCCTGCCAGGAATTTGTTCTGGACGAGTGGCAACTGCGTGGGGTGATCCTCACATGACTACATTTGATGGTGTCAGGTACAATTGCCAGGGCGAGGGTGAGTTCACAATCATGAAGACACTTGGTACCAATGCCAATGCACAACCCAAGTTTGAGGTGCAAGGTCGCTTCATGAGCTTTGACAAGCGCCGCATCACAGTGACACGCGGACTGGCTATTCGTGATGAAGGCACTCCCACGATTCAGCTCAATGTTCCAAGTCGATACGACAGACAATGCCCCATTGAGATGTTTGTGGGCAAGCACAAGCGCAACCTGTTGGAGGGCACTGGAACTGAGGATGTGGTTGTCAAGAACATTGGCAAGAAGGTTGTTGTCTACTACCCAAAGACTGGTCTTCAATTTGTTGTAAAACTGACTACATCCACTAAGTATGGATGCTACTTTTCAGTGAAGGCTTGCTTGCCAGATGAGTTCTACCGTGAGGAGACTATTGTTGGTTTGCTTGGAAGTCCTGATGAAGACCCTACAAATGAATTTATGAAGTCTGATGGAACTGCATATGAAGTTGCAAACCCCAATAAGAACGAAGGCAACTACGAATACTGTACCAAGGAATGGTGTGTCCGTGATGAAAGGAAGTCCTTGTTCGTGTATGGAGCAGGTGAAAGCTTCAGCAAGTTCAACAGGTGTGATCTTCCCTATGAGGGCTCTGTTGAACGATGCGTAGCAAATCCCCCAACATGGTTGCTTGACATCTGCAGTGAGTGTGACAAGAGGTGCTTCTACGAAGGTTGTGCAGGTGGTGCTGAAGAAGCAAAGATTGCTCTTGATGTTGAGTTTGATCTGAATAATGAAAAGGGTTGCGGACAGGTAGTTATTGATGAAGATTTCGAGGAAAATGATGTGAGCGAGTGGGGCATGATTGACACTGCCCCCAGGTCCGGATCATTGTTCCTTGGCAGGTTCCGCAAGGACAGTCCATCAGTTAGCAAGGAATTTGACATTCCAGGATGGGCAAACTATGCCACAGTCGAGTTCTTGCTCTACGAAATTGACGACTGGGCAGCTCACAACCGCAGAAACAACAGATTCTATGTCAAGATCGGAGACAGCAAGTTCCATTTGGACACATTCGAAGACGTGGAAAGTCAGTTCCAACCAGGTTCCATCAAATCTGGCTTTAAGAGTGGCATCCATTGGCAGAGACATGTCATTAGTGTTGACACCAGCATTGGTTACAGCATTCAGAACAAGGATCAGATCCACAAGGTCGTCATCAAGGTGCCAAATTGCTACTTTCAGCAAGGAAAGCTGCCAATCGAGTTCTCGGTTACCATGTCCGCTGGTGAAAGCCGCATCAGTGCTGGCGTGGATGATCTGAGAATCACTGCCAACCCAAGGAAGTGCAGTGACATGGATGGTCTTGACAAGTTGAAGCAGAAGCTGCAGCTTGAGGCATTTATGAAGAGAGCGGAAGCCGAAGAGAAGAGAGCCGAGGCAGAAAAGAAGCGAGCTGAGGCAGAGCAGAGGAAGATACTTGATCAGCAGAGAACGGTTAGAGGTAAAGCTTCTGTGGAAGAAGAGCGCGAAGAAGATGTCATTGCTTCCAGTGATGGCTCTTCACCAGTCGAGTGTCGTGTTGCCTTTGGCTATTACAGTCCCAAGCTATCTAGAAGCTTCAAGGAATTGGGTTTCACTGATGGCCCAGCTACCTGGGGTTGGTCCAATGGTCCTTTTGCATCTTCGAACTATGCTTACTCATTTGACCTTTATCCCGAAGGTTCTGATGTTTCGATTGGAACCATGACAGTTGGATATGACGGCTCAGAGGCAGTTGTCACCGTTGATGCACGTGAACGCCTGTGGCTCAAGGAAGTTCAAGCTCACATTGGAGGCGCCCGTCTTCCCTTGAAGGAGGATGGAGCTGAAACTATTGATCCTGAGGACTATCCAGTTTCCAATCGCCGAATGGCTTTGAGTCGATCATTTGTGGTGACAGACTTTGAAGATGGTCCTATCTATGTGGTTGCTGAGGCAACTGTTTGTGGTGTTTTCTCTAACGGTGCTGCTGCCGAGAGTAACGATGCTGGACTTGGTGGTTTGGTTTCGTCTGTCCGCAACTTCTTCGGCAACTTGATGTAAGGTCGGTGCTTAGACAAGCAAACTTGTTTCTCCTTTTTTAAAGTTAAAAGGTTATAGATCAAAGGTGTTTGATGTTTCCATCTCTGGATATTTTGGATTTTAGCTTGCTTTGTCCGGTGGTGTGAACAGTAGTATCGGACACAATGCTATCAGCTGCTAAACATTCGTCAGCTTGTTACTAGCTAGTTGCAAGGGCATGTTCCTCTCCTTTGTATGGCTTTTTGGCTCAAGTAGGTTGTAAACATGTTAAATCCAAGCATTCGTTCGGCCAAACCCTTGGCATCCGAAACGGCCCTCAATTTCTCGCCCCTGATCCCACAGAACCCAGTCCTGAATTTTGACTGTTCTTTGCAGAAGACTGGCCCTGGCTAGCTTCCGAAGATAATCTACCTACATGTACTCTAAACCCCCTTAGCTAGCTACTAGGTAGACAACAAGTCCAACAATGCTTAGCCAGCAGAGTGGCCAAAGCAGAGGATGCTCTGGTGCCGGCTCAGGGAACACCACCAAACCATCAATAAAAATAAAGGACACCGGAGGTGTAATAGATATACCAGGCGAGCTAAATTAAAAGATGGGCCGGCATAGTAATATTGTTGAAGTTTGGCTGAAGGTAGTGTCATTAGATTTTTTCATCTGAGAAAGTAGCGTGGTAGCTTACGGGAGTTTAGAGGTGTGCAACATGAGACGTTAGATTTTTCTGTAGATTTTTCGGTCTGAGAAAGTGGCGTGGTAGCTTACGGGAGTTTAGATGTGTGCAACGTGAGACGTTAGTTTTTCCGTCTGAGAAAGAGGCGTGGTAGCTTACGGGAGTTTAGAGGTGTGCAACGTGAGGAAAATATGCAGGATCCGTTGCTATGACTAAGAGATTGTGTAAGAAATTTGGGGGCCCAAGAGGGGGCTAACGTTTTTAGAAAACTCTAACCCTAAGGATAAACAACCAACCAAAACCAAACCACCACCACCACAATAAAAGGACACCGGAGGTGTAAGAGATATACCAGGCGAGCTGAACAAAAAGATGGGCCGGCATAGTAATATTGTTGAAGTTTGGCTGAAGGTAGTGTCATTAGATTTTTCCGTCTGAGAAAGTGGCGTGGTAGCTTACGGGAGTTCAGAGGTGTGCAACATAAGACGTTAGATTTTTCCGTCTGAGAAAGAGGTGTGGTAGCTTACGGGAGTTTAGAGATGTGCAACGTGAGACGTTAGATTTTTCTGTCTGAGAAAGGGGTGTGGTAGCTTACGGGAGTTTAGAGGTGTGCAACATGAGACGTTAGTAGTTAACTTAGGAATTACAAAGTCCCTGGAGGGATTAACATGAGACGTTAGATTTTTCCGTCCGGGAAAGTGGCATTAGATTTTTCCTTCTGAGAAAGTGGCGTGGTAGCTTATGGGAGTTTAGAGGTGTGCAACGTGAGATGTTAGATTTCCGTCTGAGAAAGCGGCGTGGTAGCTTACGGGAGTTCAGAGTTGTGCAAATGAGAGGAAATATTCAGGATCCGTTGTATGATTTTAAAAGAGAATGTGTAAGAAATTTGGGGGCCCAAGAGGGGCTAATTTTTTAGAAAAACTCTAACCCTAAGGATATAAATCCAACCAAATCCAAAACCAACAAACGAACCAAACAACCACCACCACAATAAACGGGGTCAGAGATCACCGGAGTCTGCCCGGTATATAAAAGGGGGTCTCAGAGATCACCGTTGTCTGCCCGGTATAAATCATCGAAGGTCCCAACGGTCCACCATCCCAAGATGAGCGGTAGAGTATTGCAGAGGATAGAATGAAGTGGTTGGATGCAATGGATGACAACATACGAGTATCATAACGTTACTGAGACAGTTGTGCTTCACATAAAATCTTGTTGGTTTGATAGAAGACCTGTTGGCTTGGGCATCGTCCAACCATGTCATCAAGTGTGGTTTCAGCTGTGATGGTTCCCGCGGACGAATCAAGACCTTTGGAGGCTGTCCCCATCTCTGCAGATCCAACAGTGGATGACCTGGAAAACTTTGTAAAGAACCTACAAGAAGAGGGGACGATTGTCGAGGACGTCAGACAACGACTGTTTGTGAGGCCTGGATCGGATGGTGCTGGATCTGCTGGATTGTATGCCTATGATGTTGTTATCGTTGGCACTAATGCTGAAGAAGCCACAATCCACAAGAATGTTCGTGCCAGTCGGTTGGCCATGGCATGCGGACTCTTTTCTCACAAGTTGCACGGCAATATACTATTGGTACGAGCATCGATTGCTTCCAGAGTGGATTTGCAGCTGGATCACGTCTTGGGTGCCTGCTGCATCAGCCCCGATCTCAGATCAACCGTACAGCAACAATTGAAGAAACCTGTTCTCTCCTACTCCAATGTGCCAACATTGCTAGGAAATGCACTTCAGCAGAACTATCATGACAAAGCTGTCCTCAGTAAGCTGGCGAACGTCATGATGTCCTTGGATGGTGATGATGACGGAGAGGACGACAATGATGAAGACTCCAGCGACTCAGATTGCTCACAGCAAAATGCTTCCACGGCACAGAACACAAACAATGGTATCAAACAACATTCTGCGACAGCCAGTCACGACAGCAGAGGCAGCAGAATAGAATGTGTCACCAAGGAACCCCTCTGCTTGCACTGTAGAAAACCAGCTGATACCCTTTGTCCTGATTGCAAGGCTTGCTATTTTTGTGACACTCCCGAGAGACGGTGCCGAAGAATAGGGTAAGTACGGGACGGATCCTCTGCAATACTGTCTCATCTTCTCATCCTACAGGAATCTTCACCAGATGGACACATGCCTGCCTTTGTCCAACTTGGAAATTCTATACGAATCGACGACGGGAACTTTCGACTTTTCCATTTCTAAGCACCTGGACACAACAATTGACAACTGCCGCCTTCCAATCCTCCGAGAAACCTTACGAAGACTTTCTGAACCAACATCTCCTCAACACTGGCGGCAGTGGCGACAACACATCGTCGTGGTGGTCAACAGAATTGTACGGATGGGCAGGAGGGACCAGTAGGAGTGCCGAAACAGTCAACATGTCCATTCGAAGAACCTACATGGAAGGCTTTGCTCCCCTCTTAGAGATACCACCGCAGCGGCGAGTGGAAGAGGAAGACCTACAAAGAGCCAACGCAAGCATGGCACAGAAAATCACTCGCAATGCGGTGGGCTTATTGCAATTATCATCCTGGGAACAGTATTATATCTTGCGACACATTCCAGCTTCCAGTCCAGTCGCTTTGCTGTGCACATTTCCTCTAACTCTGTACTACGCAATCACCCAATGGGGGGAAGTGCCCTGTACAGTGGCCCGCATGCTGCAGCGACCATTGCGACTCCACATTGTGGGTGTGGAGAAGGAGGCCAACTTTCTCGATTTGTTTCAAGAAGTGGGGTATCTTCTGCCAGAAGACTTGAAGGTATGCGGAAGGAACGAAAGTGGAGCATTTGTACCTGCTTACTACATGATGCTAAGTTTCCTCTCACACACACATCATGAATTTTTCGTGTATTTGATTCAATTCTTTTAGGTGGAAATGACATTCATTGTACGTGAAGATATGCTCCCTTCAGGCACTCAAGAAGCTAACAAGCAAGGACATCATCACATCTTCACAATCCACCTTTGCAGCAACGTATCCATGTCGGTTGTCAGTGGCACGTATGGTGATTCCTTGGACCCAAACTTTGACTGTGGTGGACCACCGGATATGATCATTGGTTTGAATGCTGGTTTGTATGCGTATGAATCTTGGAGAAGCGTTGTGACCTATCTGTATCACAACCCAGGTGTCATTGGCGTCTTCTCTGACTACAACGAGTACAGTGGGTTGAATTGTGCTGGCCTTGGAGGCCAAGCCAGCCGCGAGAGTCTCTGTGTCAACCCATTTCGGCAGCCTCGAGCCATGCCTGTGTATAGTATGAATCTTCCTCAGTTCAGCAATGGCTTTCTGTACGTAATGAATGCCCAGGAGCTGGAGTAGTGCTTCACTTTGGCTGCTTGAGATGCTAGCAACGCTCGAAACTGAACATCAGGTAGTGTGGGTTCCCGAATGGATGCTTCTGCTGTCCCCAATAAGCGTACTCTGAGCCTGCTCCGTCCCGCTCTCGTTGTCCCGTCCGATAAGGAAGCAATCGTTGCCGGTTTAAAAGCCTTTTCTTCTCTGGCAGCCATTAGACATGGGGGTTGTATCAGCCAAATTTGGCTAACTAGCTAGCTATGCAAGAGATGCATCATGATACTACTAGTACGGTTTTGTTAGCAAGCAAGCGCTTTCGTGGCGGCCAGGGACTCTTTCCAAAGACGTGTCAGGTTGGAGATTGGGAGGGCCTTTCCTCTGACCTTTCCTGCTGTGGAGATCCCCCCGGTAGCCACCATCTTTTGACTCTCTTTGCTTGCTTCTTCAGCCACCAAGAAGCTACAGCCGTACCGTATATGATGATCTAGCTGCCTAGCTACTGTAGCCAGAGAAGACGGTAGCTGGTACCTGTTACAGTAGCTAGCCAGCGTCTTCGTCGCTAGACCATGCAGCGGGGACAAAAAGTAGGTATCTTGGGTTTACAACCTCAACAAGACCAACGTCCAGCTAACTCTACCGGTAGCTATGCATACCGGTAGCTAGCTAGGTCCTGGTCGGGAAACAGTCCGTTGAGAGATTTGTGAGAGGGGACGCTTCCAGGCCCGTTAACGGTCCACCCAGGATTCGTAAGCAGCCAGAACGACCAATTGCATTCCGACAAATTTCGGGCTCGACGCAGGCAGCACGGCGTCAAACCCATTCACCGAGTTGGAAGAGACCCTGCAACCTCTGCAACGTGACAACCAGTTTGCCATCAAAGGTTGTCACTGGCCTTGTATTAGCCAGCTATCTTCAATTAGCTGAGCTAGCTACTAGCAATCTATCCAACAAAGCCGAGCCGCTAAAGAAGGAGTCATTTCATTTCATCTCTCACGATACGATTCATCATTCGACGCCAGAGTAGCTTCTATTCTATTCAGGCTTTCTGAATTGTTCTGTCTATCTGCGATCACCTATTACTGCTCACGCTACCTACTACCGTACCAGTAGCTAGCTATACCCACGAAACAATCCAAGCACGAAAGATCGACGAACGAAACGAAACAACGCTACTCTGTTTGTTAGTTGACCATGGCTCAAGGCAATCTCCCTCAACCTTGTAGTACCAGCACAATGACTATAACACGCGACAACAATGGCGAAATTCGGCTTCGAACGGTCAAGCGCTCCAAGACTCCTCCTCCATCGGAACAGTTGATGCTTCCGCAGACACCTCCACGAATGTCTCACGGAGGAGAGAACAGCACTATCTCTTCTCCTCGCCCCAATCGAGCCCGCGTCAATTCTCGAGAATACATTCACTCGTACGACGGAATCTATGCCGATGGGGATGACATGGCGGGCTTTGATATTCAGCGCAATGCCGGTAGTTGGTGGGAAAATCAGCAGCGGCACATGTTCTTGGCGTATGTGATTGTGCTTTTCTTTGTGGGGCTTTCCGTGGAAATGATCGTGTCGGGATTGGTGGAGGATATTTCCGTTCGAAAGGCATCCATGACGGTCACCAATCTCATTCACTTCTCCGTGACGCTCATCTATTTGCACTGGATGAAAGGAGGCACTCACGAAGATCAGGGAGATTTGGATCATTTGACGTTGTGGGAACAGATTGAAGCCACACCCAATACGGGAGGGCTACGATTGGCTCTGAGGATTGTTCCCACTGTACTCTGTTACATGGCTTGTTTGTGGGCAGGATTCACAGATGGTCCACGTCTTTGTATCATCAATTTGATTATTTGGTATTTGACGCTGCTAGGGAAGATGCCCTGGATGAATGGTGTTCGAATCTTTGGAATCAATTCTCATATTACTGATGGAGAACGCAAGGTAGAAGAACATGCCAGGTCCAGCTAAGGGACGGGCAAGCACTGAATGGAATGGAATCAATCCATGCAGCTTTCTCTTTTTTCTTCTTCTCAAAACAACAAACAACAACTGTCAGAAAGACCCTCGACTCGGAACCAGCGATCTACCGTACTACAGGAATCGAATTGAATCATTTACATTACCACGCCCGGCCCCGGGCATCAATGCCGACGCGTGTTGTCGTTGGATTGGTGCTCTATACGATTTTCAAGAAAAACAAGAACAAAAAACGACACTTTTACTTGAATAGAAGTTCAGGTGGAAAAAGAGACGCGGAATATGTCTCGAGTAATACACCAACAGGACAGGTCGAGTTTTAGCATGGCTCGATATAAATATATATTATATTACATGTACTAGACAGACAGACAACATGCATGTGTATGTACGTTTTAAAATAGAAGCAACCTTCAGAGTACCGTACCGCTGAGGAATGCAGTGGCAAGTTGCCGCCCTCTAGAATTTGCATTGCCGCAGCCACCGCAGCCCGGAGACACTGTCACGGGCTAGGTTGGCAAAGACCTACCGGATGCATCTATCTGTGTCAGGCCTGCGGGGCATCTACCCAAGGACCCCAAGTGTACCCTCCATTCCATCAGCACCAGCGCAACCAGTGTCCTACTGCTACTATGATAACTGCTGCTAGGCCGACATATAAATACTGGTACCGGTACGGTAGCTATATTGATTACATTTAATTTTCTCACCGCCATTTTTCGCCTTGACCGAGAACACTCAGTTCGATTTGATTCTGATGCCGGCCATGGTTCCCAGCCAACCAACCCTATGAACGAAGACCTCGCTTGTCTGCTCATACCATAGTCTACTACCCTGGACCGCCTCCAGCACAGGCAACCAAAATTAACTCCACCACTACTAGCTAGCTAGCTAGGCAGTCGACTCGGAATGTTTCATTGTTGCTCGGATACAAACCTGGCCAGCGGTAGGAAAAACGAATGGATATTGGGGGCGGGATGATCTGGCCCAGAGCAGAAAGTAAGTGAACTTTGACTAATGCCAAACGCAACGACAGTGGCCTCCCACTTCTACAGTGGACGAAACTCAGTATATTATTTGAGACAAGACGAGGCTCTACTACAATGAACAATCTTTCCAACTACGACCTAAAGCAGACTCGGCAGGACCACCGAACCGAGAGAAGCCATTTTTCTTGCCTTGTCCTGACTACTTCCGACTAATGATATGCTTGTTGGATCGACAAAATAATCACAAAGAAATAGATGACAATAGAGAGGAACAGAGAGAAAGAAAAATACTACCACGGTCTATGATGGTCTCATACAGCTCTTCCATAATATTTTCCAAGAAAGGAAACGTTGTTTTTCATGTCGGATATAAGTAAGAAACCTCGCAGATACAATACAGTCCACTGAATGAATCCATCCATCCATAATCTAAGAAAACTTCTGGCAGACAGGCAAGATGGAGGATTCAAAGTCAAGTTCTGAGTGGTCAGTGGCATTGATGTGGATTCCTACGCCATTGAGAGCAGTCTTGACGGCCTCTTTGGACCCACTGTAAAGCATCTTCGGCTTGATTTTGGCATTGTCGGGGTTCCAGGTGATTAGCACCAGCTTGGATGTGTCGCGTCCATCCGTTGTTTTGAACTCTACATCGACGAGTCCGTAGCGGGGTTCCGATTCTGGGAGCTCACCGCAAAAGTCCTCGTATGTCTTGGACCGTTCCCCCTTTTTCTCAATGACAATCGTTTTCTGGTCTTCAATCTTGTAGATGTAGAATCGAAGCTTTTCGCCTTTGCCTAGCTTGAAATCTTGAAAGGTCGTGGCGACCTCATCTGATGCTGTTACTCCGGTTGACTGTCAGTCAAATCATGTCGATGAAAAGACAGAAACACCACGCGTGAAATCCACGCCAACAGTTTTCGTTGCGCCACAACCGACCAAACAAAAATAAAATAAAATAAAAAAGGGACGAAATAAGACGTCTGAGATTAGAGACGGCAAACAAACAACAGGATCCAAACAGAGAGCATGCATTCAACCACGCAGCCTTGACGGGCCCCCAATTTCAAACGGCACCAACAACACGGTCGACTCGGAATATCATTTTGTCGTCCGTCTCTCAAAACACTCCACCGACCGCAAACAGGGCAACCACCGCCTAGCTAGCTACTAGCCACACAGCACCCGACCATGCTACACAACGCTTCTCGACTCGACTCGACTCTTACATACCATGATGAATAGTTGATTTGAGTTTGTGCGCAACAAAGATGCTACAACTGATATGAAAATGCGAAGTGTGAAGGCAGGTGTCTTGGAGGAGCTGAGCACAGCTTTCGTGGTGTCGCTTTGCCTCTTTGGATCCGAGTGATGCTGCGTAGACTTCTACGCAAGATTTCAAACCCAAGATCCAATGGTGGGGCAGGCGATTTTCCGAACCCCGCCGAACTGGCCATGCTTCTCAAGGAGATGACCTTTTTCAGCAATGACCGTGGCTCTGCATCACCGCTTTTACCGTATCACCACCATCTAGCTAGACTACTAGCTTCAGCAGGTAGCTGTGATACGTCCACATCATGAAGTCAACCCTATCGTCGTACGGGTTTGCACAAAAGAGGATATTGAACACTTCTGAGACAGGGCTGGGCGGATTGCTGAGCTCCCTTGCAAACTAGCTACTTTTAGCTTATTGTTCTTCCGTGCCATCGCATGTTTACATGTACATCGTTCTGCACTTCAGCCTCCGTTCGCAGGGGCCAACAAGCAGCTCTACTGTCATGCCATATGGCACTTTTATCCCATGATTACAGGTAGATAACATCAAGAGTCCAGCTAGTAGGCTAGAGAGGAAATCAAAAGGATAGAGCCAAGTGGGGATAGAGAGGGTGTTGGAGCTCAGCAGAAATAAACGGCAAAGGGGCAACACAAAGGCGGTAACAAATACATTGGTATAGAAAAGTACATGTTGTAACGACTAGAGCTGCAAAAGAATACACCAACTGAGACTTGAACTTCACATGACTCAAGAAAACATTTAACTTATTCTTTTGTGTCATCCCACATCTACATGGTACTGCACATCGGCCTTGGTTCGCAGGGGCCAGCAAGTAGCTCTACTGCCATGCACTATGGCACACTGTTCCATGCATTGATATGGTAGATAACATCAAGAGTCCAGCTTGGGCTACAGGGGAAAACAATATGATGGGGATAGAGAGGGTCTAGGGGCTCGGTGGAAACGGAAGTCAAAAAGTGAGCACAAAGCCCAAAACAAAGACTTTGCTGTTCAAACGTTCATGTTGTACCAACTAAAACTGCAAAAGAATACACCAACTGAGAATTGAACTGCACAGGACTCACTAGCTAGCCAGGAACAAGGTAGACATAGAATCCCCTTTTGACTTTTAGCATATTCTTACTGTGTCATCCCATTGTCTACGTGGTACTGCACATAGGCCTCTGGTCGCGGGGGGCAGAAAGCACCTCTACTGTCAGGCCCTATGGCACATTATCGCTGCACTACGGGTAGATAACATCAAGAGTCCAGCTTAGGCTACAGGGGAAAACCATATGATGGGGATAGAGAGGGTGGGGGAGCTCGGCGGAAACGAATGTCAAAAAGTGAGCACAAAGCCCACAACCAATACTTTGCCATTCAAAAGTACTTGTTGTAACAGCTAAAACTGCAAAAGGATACACCAACCGAGAATTGAACTCGGGTACTTTGCCATTCAAAAGTACTTGTTGTAACAGCTAAAACTGCAAAAGGATACACCAACCGAGAATTGAACTCGGGACCTACGCCGTGTTAAAGCGTCGTCATAACCAACTAGACCATCGGTGCTTAGCGCCTTGCTGATAGACGAAGCTGGAGTTTGGAGATAATTTTGAACAGTGCGGGTTTTTGTCGCCAAAGAGGTGCAGATTTTGCAGATTTTGGCGCCACCCTCCAGAGGTGTGGAATGTTTTGCCACCGAGGTCGTGCCCTGGAGGTGCGGGATTTTGCCACCAAAGTGCACGCACTCGAATTTCCGTGCTCCCTAAAATCCATAAAGACCTCCATAAAATTTGGCAATATGGGAATGCATCACCAAACCCCCATTGGGCACCCATAGAAATCGATCACTCCACCTGTTGTTGCAGATGTGCTGTTTGTTCTCGTGATATCAACATCGTTTGGGTATAAGGGTATGTCATACCGGTAGGGCAGTGAATTGTGGAAAGAAAAATCGAGTGTGACTTGTGACTTGCCGCCAACGGACGTGCGCAGATTGCCGTATTGCTGCCATCCGTTTCAAGAAAATGTACTGTTCGGGAGTGGGCGTCTGATGTTTCCATTCGAAACCATTTCCTCTCTTTGACGGTCTAATCACCATCCCGCGATTCCACCTCCCCGACGAATAATTCAATTCCGATCATCATTCATTATCAGAACTGATCTGCAGCTTCTTGTGAGTTGTCCACATCTGCAATGACCAGCATCGAAGACTCGTCACTCGAAGAGTCGAGCGGCGACATGGCAAGGAACTTGGCAGCTGCCCGAAATGGTACTAGCTAGTACGTGCGTGGCAACGGCGCGAATCGAGTGACTCAGTCGAGTCACGGGTCGAAAACCGAAAGATTTTTTCCATAGACTGGTACTCGTACCCTCGGAGATTGAATTATTCTACCGTATTAACTGCTTCAAAACTACAATCGAACTTCAGCTGCAATCGATCTTACTGCGTTATCTTGTTGTATAATACGTATGTGTAAGTGAACGGTGTCGCCCTGAGACGCAATGGTTCTGATATCCCTGGCTTCAATTTCCGCCTGCCTTGCATTATGCAGTCCACCAGAACTTTAGAGTTTTCGTAATATTCGTCCTAACTAAAACATGCAATTCTCAATTCATTTCCTACTCGTCTCTTCGCAGCTTCAAGCATTCGTCCACTTGAGCGACAAAGATCCGACCGCATACTTCTTCGCGTTGGCAGCCCTGGCAACAAGCACTGCGGCGTGGTCTTCGTCCAGAGCTTCGCCATCACTCGGAGTCACAATGATGCGGCACGTATCGGTTCCGACTAGACCAGCGGCATCGGTTGCCTTGACGACAATCTCGTAGACGCGCTCTTCCATGCTATCCATTGCAAAGCAGAACTTCGAGGGATCGCGGTGCTGACTACGGCAACTGTAGTAGTGTCGAAGTATAGGGGTAGACAAATCAATGTGATGAGGTCCCCAGTTCCCCAGCTAGAGCACGTCACTCATTCACGTACATGTTGGAAGCAGCAAAGAGCGTAGCTTGGGCAGCTCCCTTAGCTGTTTCGGTCTCGGCCAAAACTACACTTCTCTCCTCGTCAAATTCAGAGCTCTTGACAAAAATCTCAACTGACGCGGAACTTGAGCAATCGTCCTACAGGTACGAAGCGGGGCAGGTAAGCGAGAATTGCTCTCGGCAACGTAGATGAATCCAACAAAATAGGATGGCTCACCTCAATGTTGTAGAAGAACGTGCTGTCGAAGAACGCTACCGTAGCGTCCTCTTCCAGCCAGAGCGTCTTTCCGTCGTATGTGACACTATCGTGTGTGAAGCCGCAAGAGACAGACGGTGCCATGCGGTCCATTTTCACTGCGAATCGCTTGGCCTCTCCGAATAGTTCCTTTCCGTGGCCAGTATGGCTTGGGAGAATATCGAATTCACCGAGGCACTTGGATGTTGTGGTTTGAGTAACGCGGAGCAAGCTCTCGTTCGGGTCCTGAAGAGCTGCATGGAGGAAGTCAGCTGCGGCATCTCCATCCGTAAACACCTTGCCTTGCACCATTACTAGCCCTCCTTTCTCTGGCCACGCCAATGAAGCTGGAACATGAACTTGGGGTTGCATCTCATCGTCTTCAAGGTGTGCTTCAAGGTGTGCGCCACCGTCACCCAAACGGCGTCGTCGCCTGCTCAAGTTGTCGACCTTCTTCAGGATCTTGGTGAGACCAACATGGGTCTTCATGATGTTCTCATTCATTATACCCATGTTTCCGAAGACTGCTTTGCTATTGTAAAACATCTCATACATCTCCACGTCGGCAATCTGTTTGGCAGCATAATTGAACTCGAACATCTCAACAGTCTGACGTGTGCAGGGGAGACAAAATGAGACAAAGTGAGCATTCAAGCAAATCCTACGGCGGTATCGCAACCTATAGCTTTGACAGTACCTGTTGTTGGAATGCCAGCGCATAGGTTGAAATCACAACTGCAGCGGTCTGCAAGGCTTCGCAGGACCATGTGAACGCATACATGCCCTCTGGGCATTCGAAGGCATCGATGATTCCAAGGTCTCTTTCAAGCATAATGCCTAATCATAGAAAAGTTAGTCGCATATCAGTTGTTGACGCCAGAGCACACGATCACATTGAGGTACGTACAGTCTCGACTGATCAAGTGGATCTTGTCAATGAAACCTTGATAGACGTCCGCATTCGTGTTATCTGGAATTGGCAAGGTAAGCACAATAATCAGCCTCAATCCACAATCAGCAAACAGCACAACAGTATGTTTTAACTTACGGCGCTCAGGTGGTTTTAGCGTTCCTAGAGCGGCTTCTTCAGGTGCGTCAGTGATGATGCCATGGCCTTGAAGGATTTCATCAAGCTCCTCAAATTCTTCTTTGTACCTCAAATAACTCAAGTCCTCGCAAATCTCGTCCATATCTGTGAGAGAGCACAGACTATTTGAGCCCAACGCCAACGCAATGTTGTGCCCTTCGTAGCATTCACTCGAGAACTTACCTGGGTACATTTGGTCATATCCCAAGTACCTCTTCACATTCCCACTGACAAATATGTGACCCACGTATGATTAGTGCTGTCTTGCATCCCCTCTCTAGTCTTCACTCGTCAATATATGTGGTCTGCAGTGCTTACCATTGCTGCACACTGGTTGTGTCTGTCACATTGGGAGCATCCTTCATGAAACTTCCAAACGTAATTCTGCCATTATCCTTGGCCCAAGCCTCCTCATCAGCAATGCATTGCGTAAGCCTGGAACAATCTGTTGGCCTTGGACACCATGTCCCCGAATAGACCTTGCAAGACTCTGCATGTTGGTACCAAGTGAAGGTGAGTTTGCCACTTATTAGAGTGCGAGTTGGGTTCATTGCTCTAGGCAACAAGATCTCACCTTCAGAAAAGCCAGAGATACCTGGGGCTTTGTGGATGCATTGGTTTTCACCTTCTCGGCATTCATACTGACAAGGGAATTGTTAGAAGATAGGACAGGTGCAATTGTAACGAAAGTCATATTTTCAGGTGCTCACTCACAGATGTTCCAAAGAGTTCGCCCGATCTTTCCCAAGGCTGATCCATGCAGCAGTATCCTGGGGATTGTTGCTTGCTAGCGTAGGCACACACCATTCCAACTCCTACCTTCTTGCCCAGAACAAGGGCCATTGCCTCATCCATGTCGTACTGGATCATTGGTTGTGGCGGATTGTGAGCAGAAGGGTCGACAATGGTACAAATACGACTATTGATAGCGCAAGCTGCTGACATACCATGTCTCCTTCAAAGGGGCTTTCAAGTTCAACCTTCCATTGACGATCTTTCAAGTCTTCATCTCCCCAACCATTTTCAATCCCCGTGGATGGGTAAAGATCGTTGATGTCGTCCTCGTCCCCATCAAACATTTTGTCATTCTTGCAAATTTCTTTCCCATTCTCTCCTTCAACGACACAGGCAATCCAGTCGTCCTCTTCCTCCGATTCATCTCAAGTCATTTTGACGTCAGGATATGTTCGCTTGGTTGTTGCCGTGATGTTGAACTGTTGACGTTCCATGACCTCGTAGTAATGTTTGTCCACATCTTGGAAGCACCTTCTTTGATATTTGTCAAGCACCTTCCAGCTGCGCGAAGCAAGAGAAAGCGTTAGGTTTGCTGTCATGTCTTCGCGCTTATCAGAAAAACGAGGCAGCGCTTACTTTGGTTTCTTTCCTAATTTTTTGAACTTGAATAATGGGGAACTCGTATTAAATTTGGTTTCGTAGTCGTAAATGGCTGCAATGGCAGAGAGGCAAGAATGCTAGTATGTCGCCGCACTCAAAGAGTTCAATGGATTGACCTGTCAGAGGAGAAATCCAAGCAAGCTGACCTAGATATTTCTGAAGGGAAAAAGCATGAAAACTGTGAGCTGTTGACTCCAGTGGAGACTTCATAGCCGAGCCAGTTGCACTTACCCATTGGTAGATATTGAAAACATTTGGATTTGGTTTGGGCTGTCCGTAGTGGTCAACGGCATTGGGGTTGTTTTGCTTGTAGGCACTGACAGGTACCCGCGCTCTTTTGTTTTCGTCAAACAAAATCTTGTCTCCGAGGTCCTCTGCGCACATTGCCATATCTTCGAAGATCTGGTACGCAACCTTGCTTCCGATATGCTTCCTGATATTCTCAAGCTTGATGAATTGTGACGACGCCTGAGCCGAACAAACTTGTCTCCATGTGGCACCATCGTACTCGACAAATGTCAAGTTTGCAGCATACTCCTCCTTTTCGCGTCTGTCGCATACTCGAACCTCTATTCACAAGGTGATCCACAAACGACAGGTCGCCCTTCAGAATCCTATCATGGACACCAAAATGACGTTTCATTGCAGGACTGTCTCGGTATTTGTCCTTGATCTTGCTACGGGCGGCCTGGAAGTGGTTGACGAAATCGTCCTCCGACAGTCCACTCGCGGTATCAAAAGCTGTGTTCAAGCGCCTTCCGCTCTTGGGCACCCCGGTTGCGACCTCTGATGTCCAGTGTTCAAGCCTGGTTAGCAAGCAAAAGGGACGAGTCGACAACTTACATCGCTGTCATGGACCAGTTCGAGATCCATGTTGACGCTATGAATGTCGTTGGTTGCACCCACTGCTCGAGCCGCCGCTGCGGCTGCGATTCCAAACCACCAAAGGATGAAATAGTTCTTCATTGTGGTTTCCGCTGCTTTCTTCAGATCGATTCTTTCGATTTCGAGAAGCATATTGTGAGCTCATCGCAATGCCCGCAAGCATCATGGCAGCTCCAATTTGGATTCATATCTGGCAACAAATGCTTTCAAAGAAACACCTGAGGTATCAAGGACTACAACTGGCGATCTTTTGGCTCTGCAATACAAAAATCGGGCGCCCTAGGAAGCCTCCGTCATTTCATCCCCATTGTCTGTTGCTTTGCCTATCAATGTGGGTGAAAAGAAGGATGCAAAGGAAGATGCTGGTGCTGAAATAGAGCCAAAAGAAGATACGCTGCAAAAAGAACCTGCGACGTAAGTCCGGTAATCTTCAGTTGTACGCACGCACCTGTACCGGTACCAAAGCTACTGGCTGGTACTGTACTAAAAGTACCAGTACCCTTATCAGCCAAACCCAGCCGGTGAAAGATACTTAATGAGGCGATGTCAGAAACTTAAATCCTTAATGTCTGAGACCCCACTAGTCCCATTATCGCGCCGGGAAGGCACCTGTGCACAAAACCCAAAACCCAATGATTTCCTCTCCGACTAGCTATTAGCTAGACTAACTCTAAAACTCAACTACATGTACCCTGCTAAACTAATGATGCACTTTTGTTGCTAGCTACATGTAGTACAGCAAACGGCTAAGTTCCCTGCATTGCTGGGTTGCTGCTCTTACTTCTCTTCATCGTGAAAGCTCTCTCGACGGGTGTTTCGTCTCTGGGACTGCCCTTGCGCTCCTAACCCTCCCAACAATGATGACCTTCTCGCCGTTGGCTCTGCCTCACCAGAGTATTTGGCCTTCATTTCCTCCACAAGCTGCTCCCCTTTGGATACCCACTCTTCCCTATTGGCCAAGGCATATTGTCGGTATTCATGACTCGAGACTCCAAACACACCACACTCTTCCAACTTTTTGGCCAAGGGAATGATATAAAAATCAAAGAAACCAATCTCACCCTTGTACCAGTATTCGGAGGGGTCCTTTGCCGCGCGACCTAATTGATAGGCCAACATATTCTCTTGAAAGAATCGCTCATTCCACTTGCTAGAGACAGAGAGAGAAAGGAAGAGTGTCAGAAGACGAAGGAAGAAGGCATCAACATAGAAACAGATTTCGTTTCTGTTTCTGTATTACGAACCGATAGATGTGCCAATGTTGCATGGTGTGCTAAAAAGAAAGTGAGGAAAAGAATGGAAGAGTGTGTAAGACAACAAAGCAAGAAGAATCAAACAGACCAGACGCTCGGGTTTCATTGTGCCGTTACTCACTGCAATATCACTGGCTTGGATAATGTGCTCGATCTGCAGAAGGGAAGCAAAAAGATTAGGCAAACAGACTGGGACAATGCATTCTCTCTGTGGGAGAAACTCAAACATACCACAATGGTGGCCTTTCGGTTGGTACTATCATCGTTGTACACACTGCTGTTGCGCTGCTTCTTTCTGTTTATTGGCACTTGCTCGGGCTGCTCAGGGTCAGCAGAAACCAGAGAGGAGGAAGACCACTGTCGCTTTGGATGATGGAATGCACGATCCCATCGTGCATTTCGGAGCTCCTTCAACTCTTTATCAACGATGTCCGTGGCCAAGACCGTCTGAAGAATCCGGTGCAAAGAGGAGAACTGGTGAGGTTTGGCAGCACCCAAAAGCCGGATGTGTGGGATCTCACTTACGTTGACGACAAGCTGCCGGAACCTAGTCAACTCTTCCTGGCTGCTGTAGATCGTGGCACGTAGATCCTGGAAATCAGGGTCCATCAACAGGTGCCATGACATATCCACAGAGTTCTGATTGTGGGATACGAGTGAGCTGGTCACGTTCGCGGATTCAAGACAAACATCACAACATAGTCCAAATGTGCTCTTCTCACCTGCTCCGCCACACTCTGGTTCCTGTACTTTGCACAGATGGCCGCTTTCTCCTTCACGAGCTGAATGTTGGGAACGCCGACATGATCCACATCATGCATCAAGGCCGACATAACCACCGCAAACTGGGAATCGCAGGAAAAGGCGACACGTGAGTGGCATGCTTTCATCATTATGACGTTGTGATGGGCTTGAAAACGATATCCTGCACACACCTGCGTCAGTGGATCAGATGCAATGCCGTAAGTATGATCGTGAAGCTCTTTGTTAAAGTCTCCTTCGCCGTCAGAAGAGACGGCCTTTGGGGCTACGATTCTCGAGAGCAATTTCACAACACTCATGGTTACTAAAGGTGTGAGAAGGTGGGGAGGACATTTGTTGGTTGGTTAGAAACAGTCGTTCACAAAGTCCAGCTGCCAACTCTAGCCCACAACGAGCTTACCATGACTGGCATGCTGTACAGCATCAGATTGGCACCGGGAAGGAAAGTCAAAAGTATTGGGTCAGGAAAGAGACTCGCAGGCACGGGTGGTCCCCTTGAAGTGCGCTTTACCTCAAAGTTGTGAAATGGAACCTGGGGCGAGATTGGATGTAAAAAATTGTTCAGAGAATAGTTCAGTCTCGTATGATGCATCCATTACAGTGTCTCCTTGCAAAAGACTTACCGTGTCGCGGTAGAGAGAGGCTATCGTCGACACATAGGTTCGCAGCTGGTCGGTGACCTCCTTGGGCAACCTGATGTTTTTGGGATCGACTTGTTCGCGGCTACGTGCAGCGGCATTGTCGTATTTGGGAAGCTGGATAATTTCCTTTACCTCATCCAGTACAACGTCATGCTCGCCGCCCTTTCCCATACCCTGTTCAATTGGCCCCAGCTCCGCGCCTCGAAGCGTCCTGCCACCCTCAGACTCGCGCCTAGCGACAATTTGTTGTAGCAATCGAGACAAGATATCCACGTTCCAGTCCACCAGTCTCTGCGCCTTTTTCGTGATTTTGACGTCTCTGTTCATTGTTCCTTCCAAGCCAATGGGATGGAGTAAATCCCCACTTCGCGCCTGTTCTTCGGGCTGTTCCTCGTTTTGTGTCATTTCCTCGCTGGCAATACTTGCCTGACTTTGCGAACCTCCAGAACCTGACGACACAACGTCCGTTTGCCTGAAAGTCAACCAGTACGTCTGCAGCTCTCCTTTACCTTTTGCCTAATAGTTCCGATGTTGACCATGCCACTTTTTGAGAAGACGCACACCGCTCCGCAACGCACTTTCTAAAAACTCACCATGACCTTGTCCTTTCGTGGCACATACCAACCGCCTTTTCCTGCTGCCTTCAAAAGATCTGCAGTTTGCTGAGAAATGTGGATATGCCCAGTCCTACCAGTTGTTTCGATTCTGGAACAGGTATTCATGGTGTCACCGAAAAGCTTTAAAAGGAAAGAACTTAGTCAGTCAGTGACTCCATTCTCGTTTGCTACGTGATATTTGCAGGTTGTACCCACCTGGAAACGTGCCCTCTCACCCTGAAAGTTCGCAAAGGTTTCGTGGCATCGCCGTCAGCAAAAGGTTGATAGGAGCTTTCTTGTCGGATGTCTTAGGAACAGACTTACCCGAAGTACCCCGGCAGTCACGGGCCCCTTTCAGCACAAAACAATCGCAAATGGTCAGAAACAAGAGCACGAGTGCGGGCCTGGGATGCAACCAAACCTACCGAGTGCAACCCAAATCTCATTGAAAGGTCCCCTTTCGAAGCGAATGGCGACGACAGAAGTGATTGAGACTTGATTTAAATTGAATCGTCGTTCCCAACGTTTAGACGACCTACCAGTGTCGGGTCCTGATTCGAATCAGATATGGAGAGTTCAGACCATGTGAGTCGAGCTCTTCCACGCTTTTTATCAACGTTGCAACAAACACCAACTTACCCAACACCAACTCCAGCTTCTTCAGCAAAGGACGCAGCTTATCTAAGCAATCTTTCGCAAATCTACACATGACGACAGCATGGTCCTTTCTTGGTTCCGGCACTGTTTGTCAACACAAAGTATGTGCAGAAGGTCAGCAGAAGGTCAGCACGAATTCATTGCACAAACGTCGAGACTGCTTTGTGGACAAGAACTCACCTCCGGTTACGGCCACGTAACAATCTCCCACCTGCAATGGGGCGATTACAAATCAAATGCATTGAGATGCATCACCCAGCTGGTTCAGCGCACATTGCTGCCGCTGAAAACTTCTTACCGTCTCGACTTTGAAGACCCTACGTTTATTTGCTATCTGGTCGAAGCTATGATATACCTGCAGTCAGAAAAAGACGGATGGTGAACACGCTGTTTCCTTTCTTTCAATAGTAAAAATTGCAATGCCATGCTCGAACAAGGCGTACCGTTTCCAGCAAGGTAAACACCTGTAGAAGCACCATCAAATCAGGCAAATAGAGTTGAGATGTGGAGCACGCCGAGCGGGACGTCACTCAATTAGGTCACGTACCTGAGATGGTTCTCTCATTGAACTCCAGGCCGTGAAGCCGACCAAGTCGGCAAACTGTATTTGTTGACCAAGACACACCGTGAGACGGTACCCCCGTCGACAGTTCGTACAGGCACCACCTGCAAACAAAACGCACCATCAACGTTGTCTCTGGGAAGAGATCTGCAATTGGCTTGGATCCAAAGATATTGGTATCAATGACATCTCCATCGGAATCGTCCACAGACTCTAGAACACTTCTCCTTCCTTCCTGTTCTTCGTGCAGATAGCTCTTCAAATTCTGAGAATCGGAGCGGTGTTCGTTTCGCTTGCCCTGCGTGTTGTTGTTGTTGAAGTTGCCGCCGTTTGCATTGTTGTTTTTGTCGTCCTGAATCTGATCTTCGGCATCTTTCAGAATGCGCGCACGCACATTGGCAGGGAACAGCGATGCGACAATGGCATTGGTCCGCAACGCGGTCGTCATGATTTTGTGTTGTCGTTGTTGCACGTAGGCGGCAAAGATGAAAAAGACAATTCCCGTCGCGACAAAGACCGACGCCAACACGGCCGTAAAGATGGCGGGTTTGGAATCATCATAGTCGCTGCGATATTCGTCCGACGCGTAGAGTGAGAGGGAGTAATCGCACTGTCCGGCCCGTCGCGAGGCTTCGGTGGACAATCCGAATCCAGTAAAGGAGAGTGATTGTTTTAAGTTGTTGTATTTTTCTTCGTGCAAGTCGCCTTTTCCCAAATAGACAGCGGTGGGTCCATTGATTTTGTAGGTGACCTCTTGGGCACAGGAATTGGACAATACGGCGTAAACACCATTGGTACCTTCGGGCAAGAGTCGACTCAGATACAAATCCCAGGGAGCAATGCCTAGAACGAATCCCACAGTGGGTGCATTGGGTTCAAAACTGGCTCGAACGGGGGCAATGGTGGAGCTGTGAGGAAAGGCGCCGGGCGATTCATGCATGCTAGTAGTACCGGTAGCGTCATCCGTGTGGGACTGATACATTTCCTGATGGTTGGAGGCATCAGAGTTGGAATGATATCCCCAATGATCATCGAGAGACATGAGACCGCTGTAGAAAAAGTCAATGCTGGATGTCTTGAGCAAGTCGGATACAATTGCCCTGATAGTAGCCAAACAAATCAGAAGCAACGGTGAGTGAATAGTCTGCACATGAATGCATGCGTGTCTACATTGTTCCTTGCCACTAACTTACTTGTTTCCCGAGACTTGAATGGCATTAAAGGTGCCTCCGGAATTGGCATCCGCTAGAATATTGTAGTTGACCAATGTTGGTTCCACGGGAGGTGGAGAGACCTGCCATACGGGAGCATAGTAAGCCCGAAACCCTTCGGAAACGGTGGTGGTATCGCCTTCCATACCACCGGGCAAATCCTCTCCTTTGAGAAAGATTTCTTCGGCAATATTGGCATCATTCTGAGGGGGCATTGTGGTTGTGGTGGGTGGAGCTGTTGTGGTTGTGGGAGGATTTGTCATCGTTGTGGGAGGAGTTGTGGTTCGGGAGGGTACGGCTGCCCCTGCACTGGCTTGCTGCTGCTGTAAGTTCCTGCCATGGCCTTCGTGTGACTCATAAAACCCCGATTCCAAGAGCCATTGGTCGGTTTCGACTCCTAGTGTGTCACTTTGTTGAATCCAACGGTTGGCGTTGCGAATGGAATAGTCTTCCCATTGCTTTCGTTGTTTGCCCAATACGAGTGGCATGAAGAAGACGCATTCGGCAAAGGCATTGAGACGGGCATGAGCCGCCTTGACTTCAAAATTATCCGACGTGAAGAACGGCCAGGTAGCATTGGCTGTCAATGCCTCGGAGGTAATGCCATCTGCTAGGTTTTCAAACGTCTGCACCGCGTTGGTGGCATGGAATTCTACGGAATCCTTGATAGACTCGGCGCTCTTTTCAAACTGTAAGAAAAGAGAGACGAGGAGACGACGTGAGGTTTGGGTATACTAGGATGCAGATAGGTATCTTGTGCATTTCTTGACTCACCGATTTTCGAAACTGTGCGTCTTCACTGTTGGATAAGAAGACGTAGGTCGTCGATACGACCAAGGTCGCCGTAATCAAGAGCATGAGGACGACACAGGTCCGCCATCGCGACACGACACTGGAGAGAGAATCGACAATGGCATCTTCGGCTTGCGAACGGTTCCCTTCACTGACATGGTCGGTGCCGCGTGTCGTTTCGGAATACCCCGAATTGAAGGAGGCGACGGAACCGCTCGATCTATTGGAAGACTCGCTCAGGCTCAATTCGTCCAACGCTTGCCGCTGACGCTGAGCATAGACAGAGGATGTCTCGCTCATGCCACTGCTGCTTTGCCGGTTGATTTGCTGGGCCATATCCATGATGATGTATGCGTCTTTTAAGCTGGAGGGAAGGGAGGTTGGCGCTGGAAGGAAGGAGACTTGATGCGGGGGTATATGGCAGGATAATGACAAAACAGTGCAAAAGGCGGTGGGGTATCCGCAAATCCAAGGCACTCGAGGTATCTGGGGAGGTTCTTTATTACGAGATAATGGGTCAGAAATGGTTAGTTGCTCTAGTAACTGTTAGTCAGCGGGGTGCGGTTGCAGTCGAAAATGCTTGGTTTTGTAACAATGGATGCCTCACTTTCGCTTGTCCGGCAACCAGAATGCTCAGGGGTACCGTAGTGCTTGCGTTACTGGTAATAAGTTTGAGCTGTGCAGCATGTCCACTTCGGGGTTGTTGTTGGTGCGCTGGTTGGTTGGTGGTGGTTTGGGAAGCCGATGGGATGGGGAAGATACTCGTACGTGTATCATGGACGCTTGCAACTGGCAACAAACGTGTCGCTCTATCTTTAAATCTGCGTCTTCAAGAATCCCAGCAGAGCTGTGGGTCATTTCGATTGAAAACTTATTGCCGGTACAGCTGATCTTTGCAGTCATACAGAGGAGAAAGGGTAAACATGCACTGAGTAATAATGGACTGTAAATGTTACTACTAGTAGTACCACTGCGAGAAATCATATCACTTGTCTTCTGGTTCAAAGCATTCAGAGCCCCAAGAACCATTTAGAGTTTAGAGCAGAGCAAAACCTCCATGCCGATGCCATGCCAAGGGTTTCCATTGGGGACACTTCTCTACCGGTACGGTATAACCTCTCATGGGCTGGTGGTGACATCTAACTGGTAATGCTACTTGGCATTACCACGTTACAGCTGTTGGGAGTGGTTATGTTGCCCTGATTTTACAAACAGTTGCTCATGAGACTACTTACTGGCTTGCCTCAAAATTCAGGAGATCTATGTCTTCTGCCAGAGAGGTCCAACTGTCAAACTGAAAGCTGAGTAGGGAACGTCATTACCCAATCTCCCTTGCAGAAAACTCACTTGGTCATAAGGATTACGAGTAGTAGAAGAAGTTACACTTTACGTTTCCAAACGTAGCCTTTTCAACTTTTCTACTGTACTCATTACAGTACTTTAAATGAGGGGTTTACGGTGATTGGAAGACATCGGAGTGGGCAGTAGAACTCCCCAACTATTTCTGGAAGCCATAATTCTCACAGATGACCGTAGAAGCTGAAACTCTTCTCATCCATCATAAACCAGCATCAAGTCAGGAGTCGAGTCATCTCGATTTAACGAGTTTCCTGAAGCTGATTGTTGATACCCCCCACCTGATTCCCTTATGAACTTGCTCAACCGGCAAACTGGGAACGAACAGATCGATAGAACAGAACCTCAAGGTCCAATTGCCCAGCTAATTGCCAACACCAGAACTCGCAATAGGAAAGGGAAACAATGGAGGGCTTTCCCAACCTGGGTTGTATTGCGGGTGGGTCCTGGATTCGAATGGTTCCTGGCTTTGGTTTGTGTGCTTGTTGTGCTTGGGAGAACTGGCACCTGTAGCCTGCAGGTGAAGAAAGCCCACCAGCTCATTGGTGTTGCTTTGCTAGCTAGATCTGAGAATTGGGACAAACATGTAGCTACCTACAGCAAGACTTTCATAGTTTACAAAATACATCACAGGATTTTTTGAGTAATTCACAGTTATTCCTTGACTTACAACTCAATAGCACAAACACAAGAGCCAAACAAATGTATGTCTTAACAGTTGCACACTAGAGCAAAACACCAACCGCAGTGAATCATCCTCACACCAGGATCTCTGCCACAAAAAACAAGGAGCTTGCCAACATGGCAAGGAAGATTTGGCTTTGAAAGGCCACTGCAGAAGACTGAGGAGCGGGTGATGGCGAATCTGGAGTTGATGATGAATCAGAAGTTGATGCTGACTGACTTGATTCTAGGGCAGGAACTGACTTTCCTTCAGCCCAGTCCTTTAACTGAGGATCATCATTGACCATCTTCATGTACTTGTCATCAATGTAAGTTGCTGGGGGCTCCAAGGAAGTAACCACTCCATTTTCCAGCATGAAGTTTCCAACTTCACTGGTCCAAATGTCATATTGGGAATTGGGTGGGTCTCCTTGGCGCAACATCAACTCCAGCTGTCTTGCCAGTCCAAACAATCCCACAAGGCGAAGATCCAATTCCAAAGCAGAACGAGGAAGGATAACATCAGCTTCAGCAAAGAAATCAGCCATGGCATTGACAACCTCTTCCTTGTTGGAATCATCATTGATGAATTCAACAGCTCGTAGCCACCCAGATAGAACCTTGGCAACAGTCATTGGCTTTTCTTCTGCAAACTCTTGCCTGACCATGTGTCCACCAGTAACAGTGGCATAGACAGATGCTCCCGAGCAAATTGTTTCTGACCCATTGACACTATCTAAAAGTTTGTAAGTATTGGGAGCCCAAAGACCACCCAATGTAGCCTGGTAAATAAAAACATGAAGGCAGTTGTGTTAGGCAATCTGCATATCCAAACAAAATCGAACCATTTTCTCCAATGATTTGCCTACCTTTGCGGTTCCATCTGGTCCAGGTGTCATATTTCCAATTACCTCAGCTTGTTGTGCATAAATGAATTCTACATCTTGAATGTCATATCCTTGACTCTTCAAACAGGCCTGGACGACAAAATCTCCTGTTGAGTTCGGGGAAAGGACAATGGGAATGCCCTCGATGGAATCAGGAGGCCATGTGGCTACACCTTCTGCATTACCCATCAACTGGTTGGTGGCACTTTGGTCCATGGCAATACCAACACCCAAGATTCCTTGAGACCCTCTGGTTTGAGTCAGTGTTTGCGAAGAAAGAAGATGCCAACATTTTCAGAATGGCAGAATATCACAGATTGATACTCTTGTGGTGGCATCACGTACCCAATAATATTTGGAACGACACCAGCAACTCCCATGTCCCACGATTTGTCCTCCACGGCTGCTTTCACTTGGGGAGCTCCAGATGGGTACTAGCATCAGGCAAGAAAAGATACCAAACTCCTGAGTGCTCGAATCTGCAACAGATTACAACAATGTCTCAATCCAAAAAGAACTCACCCACACCAACTCCACATCCAGGCCCAAAGCAGAGTAATACCCCTTATCAAGGGCAACTGAACAAAATCAAAATCAACCAAAGAGTCAGAGTCTTGCTTCGCCCTTGACATAAAAGAAGTACACCACCAACCAGCCATTACTCACGTTTGTGGGTAAGAGAACTCAGCTCGGTCTGATGGCTGATGATAACTTTTTCCCCTTGACAAGGCACCCATGGAGCCAGCGACACCGCCAACAAGGACTGTAAGATTCCAAAGCGCATGGTTGGTTCTTGGATTTCTAAAGATATGAAGGTTTCAGCAGCAGCCCAAGGATTTGCTTGCTGTGTTGGAAGGAAAAGGAAAATGAGAAATGAGCGCCATGGATTGTTGGAGGAGGCAAAAGACGGCTGCCAGTGTCATCATTTTGTTGAAGTTCAACTCAAAGGGTTCTCATCCATGAATGTCCTTTTGTCCGCTCCGCTGGCTAAGATCTCCTGGTACCGGTACTGTGCCGGTAGCGACGTCATCTCCAAATGTTCCGCGTTTGTTTCCCTTCCTCCAACAACATGAAGACTGAATAAGGCAAGTCCTCTACCTGCATGGCAATTGAGCTCTGGGGTCTGGGTCTATTAGACGGACGGTTAGTATGATAACCTGGACATCTTTCCGGACAGGTCTTGCCGTGTTGGTCCTTGTGTTTTTCCTCTCCAACCTGAATGGGAGCCGAAAAACATCCAAGGCTGTATTGGATCTCAACTCGGACGAAGCGGTAACACTGCCGGATCACGAGGCAGCAGCCGTGGCCTCTCTGACCGATGCACAGCTCGACTCGGTGTACTTTGGAAGAAAACAAAAATCGCTTGCGAATGGAGCGGCATCATCCAAACGAGAAGGACAAAGGAAGGTCCGAGGACAGCCCTTTCATGAAACTCAAGAGCAGCAACGAATAGCAACCGACCAGCAGGTCACGGGGGCACAAGTCGAAGAATCAAGAAACAGTGTCCAAGAGGGAGAGGAGACAGCCCCTCACAACAAAAAACAAGACACTGACTTTGAGAGCAACAACTCGGTGGCCCAAAATGGGATGAAAAATGAAGGTAGTGCCTTCGCCATTACAGATGAAAAAGGAACAATTGACATGTCGACTACCAATGAAAACAAGCACGGCGACGTTGGAAACTCTGTTGCTCATATAGAGACACAAGACAATCCACAAGACCTTGGTGCTGATGCGCAAGAGATGGTGGCAGAAGATTCTACGGATGCTGCTGAAGCTACCGAGGAAGGTACCGAAGAAATGGATGCAGAGGTAGAAGACGCCAAAGAAGAGGAAACACCTTCCTCCAAGAAAGCAACAGAAATCATTCCAAAGGGCCCAGCCTGGAGTTCCTCCTGGGTGAGCCCACAAACTGGTAGTCCCTATACGTACGCCATGTTCAGCTGGATGTGTGATCCTGGGGATGTATCCATATCCAATCCAGTGCCAGGATACAAGACGTATTTGGCCAACATCCTTGTGGCATCCAAATTATTGAGAGATTTTGGCTCCAAAGCAGATTTCAATGTTGTCATTAAAATGAACTACAAATCCAACCATACTCAATTGCTGGAAGAAGATGAGAAAATGATGCAAGCACTGGGGATTCGGCTCATTTACTTGCCAAAAACCAAGGACGGGAAAAATTTCTATGTGGATCAACTCAACAAAATGTACATCTTCAACATGACTCAGTACAGACGTGTCTTGTACCTTGACGGAGATGTCATGCCCACAAACAACTTGGACTATTTGTTTGAACTGTCCGATGGACCCAACCCAATGATCAAGGAGAATGCAGTCCTTGCCGGGTACACTGAACCTGCCAATGGTGGATTCTTCATGATGAGGCCCAATGCTACGGCATATCAAGACATTCTGAGCATGATTGCAGGGAGAACACTTCAATCCCTCAAGAGACTCAAGTGGTTTGACCAAGAGAAGGGGTGGGGTCATACCATTGTCCCTCCCGATAAATTTGAAACCAATTATCCAAAAAAGGAAGGAACCAAATGGAAATTTGTAAGTCAAGATCGGTTTGTCGCGCATGGAAGGCCTAATTTTGTGCTCAACTCTCTAGCATGCCTCTCGTCGTTGGTGAAATTTTGAAATGCAGCATGGGGCCATGACAGACCAGGGGCTACTTTACAGTTATCCAAAATACAATCTGCAGAGTATGACCCAAATATTATCTCGTAAGATTATCAACTTCGGACCAGGCCCAAATGGAACCACCGTCATTGAAAAGGTCATGAATGTTACCTCTGTCAAGTCCAGCCCCTTTTCCAAATTATCAAAACCACAATTTGCTTTCTCACCAAGTAGCTGCATGATGTTTACGTACAAGTATGCTCCTGGTTGGCCTGGTTGTGTTCCTCCCTATGCGGATCATTCACACTTTAGTGGAAAGAAGAAGCCATGGAAATACCGAAAACCAAAGGACTTGTGGGAAGATGCAAAACCCCGTAATGACTTTTATCTTTGGTGGAGGACACTTGACAAATTGCAGCAAGACGGCATCAATATCACCTTCACGGAGAGCCGAAAGGGTAGCAAACACGCAAAGAAGAAGAAGGATAACAAAAATGACAAGAAGAAAAGCGCAAAGAAAGGAAAGCGGTGATGGATGAGCAGCATGCCCGAAAAGTCTCCCTTGGCTGCACTCTTCCCTTGGCCACTGCTGTCAAGTGCGCAGCAGACCTGAATACCGGCACGGGTCACCATTCACCGTTGGGAACCGACAAGTCCACAAGAATCGACTCGTTATGGGAAAGGAGCGAAGCTCCGTGCCATTCAAATTTGGACTCAGACGATGAAGCTAGTACATCCATCTTGTCTACTAGTAGCTTGTACCGAAACAAATCGGTGTCCGCTTAGCAAACTTACTTAAACGCTGGACGACAGTACAAATAACATCATTGCCAGTATAATTCCTGTAGCTAGCTAGTGGCTCGATGTGCTGCCAAGCTTTAGCAAACTGGTTTGAGCAAAGCGAATTTTCTCTTTGACTTATGGACAGGTGGATAAGACTTGTTGGTGTGCCTCTACTGTGCCTGGCTACCGGTACCCTGTTGCTTTCAACATCTACACCGGGACTGACATCAACTCTCTTGGCGTCCATGCTTTCTTCTTTGCCGTAAAACTGCCAGTCACATTTCCAAGATTGCTTGAACACCACGAAGCACGAAGCACGAAGCATAACTTGATTGCCCAAACTTCGTCGCTTGGCCATGCCATAACAATAGAACTTACACCCACAAACGATGAACTTTTTGATCAGAATATACGTCTTGCTTTCTGCATCGGCCGCGATGGCGATGACCAAGACAAAATCCTTCAGCAATCCTCTGTTGGACCGACAAGCCACTGACGTCGTTTGTTACCAAGGCACTGCCGCAGAAGTTACAAGGGCTTGCAACGGGAACTGTTGCACAGGAGAAAATGCGTGCTCATGGGTTGGGAAACGAGAAATCTGCGAGGGGAGCTGCAATGGACAAGAAGCTTGCTTACTCTTTGACGGTGATTCTATCGGGAAGAACAGCTGCAATGGTGTTCGAGCCTGCCATAACTTTGCGGGGACACAAATCGGCGACAACAGCTGCACTGACGAGGACGCATGCTCTGGATTCGCGGGACATGAGATCGGCAATGACAGTTGCAATAATTACCAAGCATGTCACAGCTCTATCGCAACGAACGTGAAGAAGCTTGAAGGATGCAACAACTTGGGGGAATGCGAGAATAGGTTTTTTGAAGGCTTTGTCGAAGGTACAGGCCAAGAAGTCACCGAGGCGTGTGCAGGGAACTGCTGTGTAGGGAAAGATGCGTGCTCTTGGTCTGGCAGCAAAAGAATCTGGTTTGGTAGCTGTATTGGACTCCTCTCCTGCCATGACTTTCGCGGCGATGAAATCGGTGCAGAGAGCTGTGTTGGACGCGGTTCCTGTAGAAACTTGGATGCTCATGTCATAGGTGATAAAAGTTGCGATGGCTATGCAGCTTGCATGAACATGAAAGCCAACTCGGTGGCTAACAACACTTGTGTCGGCAACCAGTCCTGCCATAGAGCAGATGCGCGATCCGTGAACCTCCTGAGTGGCTTCGTTGGGGCGTACGCATGGAAACATCCAGAACTTTAACAATGGAACTAGCGGCAGCAAAGGTTCACTTCTATACTGTGATAGCTTGTCTTTTCATTGTTTATATCCTGAACCTTTATAACCTGCTGCAGGCACATGGCCAACTGGTAGAATGACGCAGCACAGTCTTGAAAAATCCCTCAAGTTGCTGTTCTTGAGTCCCTTCTATTGGTGGCAACAAGTGCGTCAAATGTCAAGGTACTAGTACCTCTATGAAGACAAGCCATGGAGTGCTACAGTCGTACTCAAATCTCACACTCGACTGTTCTTTCAAATCTGCCATCCCCATTCTACCTAGAAGTGTTTTGAGAATGGCAGGCATGGTTGGGACAAGCTTGAAAGACGGGAAGGATTCATTCATGGCCAGGTTGGGTTTGAGGGAAGAAAACTCACTGAAAGCAGCTACGGTAGTGACGAGTCGTGTGTCCGGCGGTAGAGCCGCTTGATTCGATTCAATTCGGCTCGACTGAGTCACTCGAATCGAGTCGAATAATTGATTACATTCCGTGGGGTCACATTGACATTGATTGGTTGGTCGGGAGATGCTGAAAGATACTAGTACGGCCGTAGCTACCGAGAGCTGCGGCGATGCAAGCCATCATGCTGATCCATCTCAAGAATCCAGAACCCAACCAGCCAAGTCAAGTCTTTGGAACTGACTCCGCAGGAGACTAAAAACCATGTTGGAAATATCTGGGCTGGTCAACAGTGTGGGCACCAATGGCTCCCCAGTGCTACAACAGGCACTCACCATTGGCAGAGGTGGTGCTGTGGTGGTAACTGCATCGGCTCTTGCTTCGGTTGTTTCCACCGCCATCAAGGATCTGCCTCGTGGTGGCGACATCAACAAGAAGGCCATTGCAGTCAAAAAGGGCGCTCCTCCAAAGACAACATCAGAACCATGGATTGGACCTCGTGCCAAGGCCGTATTTTTCATGGCAGTGGCCATGTCCCTACATTATCTGGGTTACTCCCTGGCTCGACCCATTACCATTTCACTCTTCACCTCAGAAACATCTGGATATGGAAAATTTGCCGCTGCGTTTCCCTTTGCCATGGCCTTTGTCAGCCCCATGTCACTTGGATTGCTACTGGGATATGGCAAAGTTCTGGACAAACATGGTCCACGAGGGGCTCTCATCAGATCCACCATCTTTTGTGCCACTGTCGTTAGCTGCTCGGCCATGGCCATGAACTTGTTTGAAGCCTATGGGACGCTTATTATGAAAGTTCCTGCTGCCAAATTTGTGTCTGGACCACTCTTCGTCTTTCGAGAATCCTATGTCCAACTGCTTACCAGCCAGTATTGGTCTTTCATGGCATCAGCGTTGACACCATCCCTAAGTGCCAAATGGTTTGGACCTATTGCGGGGTTGTCCAGTATCACCTCAGCAGTTGCTGGATTTTTCGTCTCTGATATCATTGATTTGATCGGAATATCATACTCTCTGCTGGGAACTGGAGTGACACTTCTCATCAGCATCTTTGCCGCCAACATGGCCTATGCAATATCCGAAGAACATGGATTCAGTCCAGTTGCCAAGAAACACAGCAGAAATGACAAGCAACAAAAACCGATGGGCATGTTTGAAACGGCTGTCAAGCTTTTTGCACGGGTGCCTGTCTTGCTCAAGCTATTCATTGAAATCTTGGCATCCCAAGGGTTGATTACGATCCTTAATGTTGCCTTTGTGGCTCGATTGGCCCATTCCATCCCGGCAGACGCTGAACGGGCTGGATGGGTGGGAAAATTCTTTTCCACAATCAATATCATTTCCATGGTACTGCAATTTGGCATTTTACCACCCTTGCTCACCATTATCGAACCCAAGATTATGTGGCGTATTGTCCCCTTTATTGCTATGATGTTCACAACCTTCCAAGCCAGTCAACCAGACCCAACACTTTACGTTGTCAGTACCACTCTGCTAGTCATGAAGGTACTGGAATACTCCGCTCGAAGAATGCTGGATGAAATGGTCTACGTACCCTTGGATTTTGAAAGCCGATTTGTGGGCAAGGAAGTCATTGGTGTCTTTGGATATCGACTTGGAAAGTCACTCATGTCTTTAGGACTTTCGGGAATCACAGCGCTATTTGGCGATATGGGAATTCAGGAGTATTCCATCTTGGGTGCTGGTATTAACTTGCTGTGGTTCTGGGCATCATGGTCCTTGAGTAACGAAGTGCCAACTCGAAAGGAAGCAGAAGAAATCTATCAACAACAACGGAATAAGAAGAAAGATGGTGGCAAGAGATGATCTGTTTGTGGATGTGATGGCTAGCCTGCAGTCCATGCTTTCGTCACAGAATCCGTGTCACAGTTGCTATGTGTAGTCAATCGATGAAGACAGTACCTTCCATACCGGTCTGTCACAAAAGTTGTAGGTTTGAGTAGTCCCGAGGCGTTGGACACCCCCACGAAACATTGCAATCTACGGGAAATCCTGGCGATGAGCTGCTGGCCTGCTACAGATACCTTTACGGTATAGGTACCGATACCGGTACGGGGTTGTGCATGCGATACAAAGTTTTGTGGACGATTGCCAATATCAGCAATCTGCAAAACAGAACTATGCATAGAAGCCAGTCACCATCTCACCGGCAACTAGTAATGTAGACGTTTAGTGAATTTCGTTTCCTTTCTTTTAGGTACTTTATTGTTAGCAACAATTTCAGTGCCTTGACTTATCCGTTGGCTAGCTTTTAAAAGCCTAAACGGAGACCGTTCATCAGCACATCTACACGCATCAGCCACTCACAAAAAACCGCAAAGGCGTGGCTAGTGAAATCATTATCCATTTTCTGCGATGTGCCTCGATCGCAAACCTAGCATGTATCAAAGCTTTAGTCGACTTTGATAGCCCCATAGATCTTGGTATTGAACCAGAAACTTGAAAGAACACCCACACTACCACAGAACAATCCAAAGCAAACAGATATCATCCACATGTAGGTCACATAGACCACAACTGGAAGAAAGCCAACCAGCTCTAGTCGGCTAGCTAGGAAACATAGGCTGTAAAGGAAGAGGAAGAAGCCAGCAGAGGCACAATTCCCAAAAGACTTCCACCACCAACGGTGATCTTCCTCCACTAGCTGCAGGTAGGTCATGACGATTGACACTTCTGCACAGGTTGCCGTCAAGATCAGCAAGACAATAAAGAGGAACCCCATCATGTAGTAAATTTGATGCAACCATAGAGCGTTCATGATGAAAAAGACCTCGAGACAAACGGATCCAAATGGCAACAGACCACCAAGGAGCAAGGACCAGGGTGGACGAGTATGGCATGGTGACTCAGGAACGACTCGAGGAATTTGCGTGGTTTTGGTTGGCACACTGAAGGGTTCTTCTTTGAATCCATAGCGGGCACCTACAAACACCAACGGTGTGCTGATGCACATCCACATTCCAAACAATGCCAGAATAGTGCAGAAGCTGACAGCTGTTGCTGCACCCGCAAAGGAAAGGAAGATGTTCAGAATAATAAAGATGGATACCAAAGAGCCTGGCAATGCAGCGGCTGTAGCAATGGTGTTGAGTTTCCAGTCTTTGCCCTTGCAAAACTTGTACATTCTGGAAGAAACATAGCCTGAAACAAATCCACTGAGCACATACAAAATCAAAATGGCAGTCAGTGTGGCTCCCTTCTTCATTGGATTCAACCACTTGACCATTGCACAGATTAGAGTCAAAAGACAGGCAGTGCCAATTTGTGCACCTGTTCCTGTAACGACACTCAATGCCATGGGGTAGGTTGTTGGTGGCCGAAAGACATCTCCGTGCAACAGCTTCCAGCCACTCTCTTCTTTTGCGTCTGTATACAGCAACGAACGTGTTAGAGTCATCATCAAGTACCCGTATTGCACAATAGAATTGGCACACAACATAAGTAATCCAAGTTCGGCTTACCTTCCAACGTTTGTTCATTGTAGCCGGCAATATCTCGATTCAAGGTTCGGACAAGGATTGTAGCAATGGCTCCAGTCAGGAAAAGGACCACCATGAGGGAGTTCATAATGGCATAGTAGTGAATACCGTCATCCGGGACGTTGATCATGTAGACATCCCAACGATCTGCCCAAGCGAGATCCGATTGCTGCCATTCAACCTCGTAGCTATACATAATCTCCATGCCTTCACCATCGGCAGGAAGCTGCAAGAATCGTTTGGGATCATTCGCAACGCTCTGGGTGCCATGACAGGAACTGACCACAGTCTTCGCCGTTACTTTGCTTTCTCCTCCATCCACCAAGTCGTGTTGGATGCTGGTGGGCTGAACATCAAATCCAGTAATCCGCACGCCATCAAAGGAGCTGCGATCCATTTGATAGGTAATGATAAACTTGAGATGATTGTAAACATAGTATTCACCCGATTTAGCGCCAGGTTTGTCGGATGACCGTTTGAATCCAACGGGGTATCCACGCACAGCAAAATTCATACTCTTGTCTCTCATCAGGAGAGGCAACGTATCCAGACTCATTTGAACGCGATACTGCCGGTTAATGAGACTCTTGAGCCATTTAGTCTTTTTGGGAGCAACTTTGACCTGACACAGGGGCGTGCAGAATTGGTCTTCAATGGTTTTAAACGAATATGGTGCCGGCAGGAGTTGATTTCCCTGCAAACGAACACCGAGATTACGTCGCTGCTTCAAGTTTTTCTTCCAGGCTGTTCCTGCTTCAGGCTTGGGGCACCCTGGCAATTCATAGAATCGAAATGGCAACTGTGTCTTTTTGGATTGGACCGAATCGGTAATGGCCCAGATGGGCTCCTTGGGCTGAAAGTTTTCGGGAGCTACTCCTGGGAATAGAATGGATGTCAGATCTGCCGGTCGCTTTAGGAACAATCCCTTTCGCTTCTTCTTGCGAAGGCGGTACTTGCGCATGAGCGCTGCTTCTTTGGTATGACTGACTTCATCGACACCTTGATGTCGAAGCTCCTGGTACTTTTGGGCTTCCGCCTTAGCCAATGCACGGCGTTCCTTGAGAGACGGCTTTGCGGCTCCCTTCTTGAACAATGCCCAACCTGTGGGGCTCCATGCCAAGAGCAAGGCTAAGGAAAGACGAAGGGCTTTCATCGTACAAAAACTGTTTTTTCTTTTTTGAATAAAGCAAAGAGTGCTCAGACTGACAAGTTAGGTATCGGCTGAGCCTATTATCGCTTGAAAACTGGGGATCAGCGAGCTAGCGAGGATAATGGTTGTTGATGGTATGCATGTACGGTATGGTACCATGTCATTGCTTCGTGATCGTTAAGATCGTGCCATTTTGGCGATGTTTTGGACCAGGAAGCCTGCCCCACCGGATCCAGTGAACCGGTACGGTAAGTGGATAGCTCTGCTGTTTTGTAACTGAAAAGGGTTCCAACGTTCCAACAGCTGTCCTGCTTCCAACGCACCTCCATCAGAAAACTTACAGTACAATACGTCATGCAGTTTTCAATAAATCTCAAATTCTTAAGAAGAACAGAAAGGCAGGGTCATCGGTGGTTCTCCGTTTGTGTGATCGGTGACTCTGCCATAAATCGCTCGATTAACGCCCTAATTCAATGTCCACACATGACTTCTTACGGTTCTGCCCGGACGGAAGGTGGTCAATTCGAATGAACTGGCGGAGCGCCTCTGATGACACCCAACGGCAACAACGAAGCTCCCTCCCTCCCACCTCCCACACCCTCATCAACAACTGTCGTCTCGTTGATAGCTAGCTAGCTTTCCAGCTCTAAGCACCATGAGGTTGACCATCTTGAAGTCCATTCTAGCCGCTGCTTTGGCACCGTTTGCCTTGGTAAATGCGCAAGAAAGAGTTGTTGTCAGCTACCAAACCGAGCTCAGCGCGGTTGCACACAAAAGTGAGTAGTAGTGCACTGGTACCGGTACCGTACTGCCCCGTTGAAAATGAGGAGCTAATCCATGCTCACACTCACATTCTACCTTTTTTGCCTGCTTCAGTTGCCCTTGATAAGGGATATTACTCCCATTTGGGTCTAGATGTGGTAATGGAATGGGTGAGTCTTTTGAGATGGGGTATCTATCCGATTTTGCTTCCACTCTTGGATACTAGCTAGAACTAACCAGTTCTTCTTCTTGTTCACACCTGACGTTAGTACCCATCTGGAGCTCCCCAAGTCAAAGCAGCCGTGGAAGATAATGCTTGGGATTTTGGAGGTGCTGGTGTGGTCCCAAATATCATTGGGTACGTGATGCCACCACCCGTATCGATCCATGATGTTTTGGGCATTATGAAAAATTGACATCTTCTTTCTTCACATTGACTCACTAACTCAAAAACCAGAGGGCCTCAAGGTATCTTGGGAGTTGGTATTTCCATGGACCAAAGTGCCACCAACCAGTTGATGGGAAACAAAGAGGGGGTGGCCACATGGCCTCCTGAATCCATGGCGGGCATTCCTGTTGTGATATCTCCCAATTCTACTGGAGATTATGTGGTCCAGGCCTGCTTGAAGAGTCAAGGATTCAATATTCAAGATGTAGAATTCATTTATGCACAACAAGCTGAGGTGATTGGAAATATGACACCTGGACCAGATGGAACCGCAAAGGTAGGCGATTGCTGCAGGCATTGTGTTGTGTTGAGTATTTGATTTAGATTTTGAAGAATACATTTATTTATTGGGCTAACAAAAATTGCTCTATGGTTGCTCTGCCAGGCCACTTTGGGTGGTCTTTGGGCCCCTAACACTTACAAACTTTTGGGAAGTGTCAATGGATCTGATACAATCTGCTCTGGAGCATCTGTCTACGCTACTGTTACTGGTGGACACATGGTTCGAAAACAGTTTGCAGAAGAAAAACCAATGACAGTGGCCAAGGTCCTTTCGGGGTGGCTACGTTCTGTCAATTTTATCAATACAGAATCCAACAAGGAGGAGGTGTTGGATTACATGTCTGCCTTTTTTGCCGAGAAGGATGTTAATATTCCTCGCTCTTCCTTGGAATTGGATCTTCGCCTTGTGGGTTTGTTTGGTTTACAGCAACAGTTGGATTTGATGGAACGCCGTGGAGAGCCGCCCCTGTCCAATTATGATATTTGGACCAATGAAGTTGGAAACTTTATGCTGGAGAATGGAGTTATTTCAACTTTGACAGACCCAACAACTTACATTGATGACAAGTACATGAGAATGGTCAATGATGACCCCCAGCTAAAAGATTGGGCTGAAGGAAAGGAAGTTCTAGGCTCTACTGGATCTGCAGCCACATCCTTTCAAACCCAATATTTCTTCTCCCTGTTGGTGAGCACCGTGCTTGTCGTTGCAGGAATCATGGCACGATGAGCAGGGGATGCGTGGCTGCCAAGTGCAACTGTTATGATGTTGTGGTTAGTTGCTTTGCTTGGAGTTGTTCTGGTGTCGTGGAAAAACTAGTTATCGTTATGTTTACAGACCCGTAGGTCTCTAGATTGCTTTTCTGCCAAGATTAACGAGCCCCGTGTCCACTAGTACATGTAGTTATCCATATCTTGGGTTAAACGTTGAATGGGTTGATTGTCGACTAGCCCGTGGCCACAGCCAGGAGTAGATCGGAGAGTATTGGTCTGCTGACTCGACTCGACTCGACTCGACTCAATCGAAGCGCCAATGCAAGTGCTGCCTGGTCGGCCTAGCTAGTCAGAATGATGCCGGTAGTATCGAGGGAAGGCTGATGCGGATACAAACCTGTAAAGAAGAGGCGACTGCGAAGTCCGGAATCCGGCGCCCAATCGGCTTTCGTGGGGAAGCTTGACAACGAGGCAGGCGGAAAAAGACGCAATCAATCAAAACCTACTAGCTAGCTAGTTACACGAATAATCAACTAAAAAACTATTGTCCCATCCTATCCAATTCAATTCGCACAAGCAAGCAAGCAAGCGAACATACAGTATTATCTTCTCCGAAACAACCCAAACGACGCTCGTCTTTCTTCGGGCACGGTCCGCAGATGCAGTGCCGGATCATCCGTCGTGATATTATTGTCGCTATTGCTGCTCGAACTCGATCGATTCCGCGACGTCTTGGTGACAATACTGACATAGCGCGGTGCCGACTTGACAATATCGGTGGCGACACAGGCATCGAGCTGAGCACAATCGACTCCGTTAATGGAGATGACTTGATCCCCCCGCGCCAACATGGAATGGGCAAACAAGCCATTGGCGGGGACACTGTGAATCTGGAGTGTCTTTTCTTCAGTTGAGTCGGCGTTGCCACCCGACAAGAAGAAAATGCCCGTTCCAAATTCGGGATGCGGTTTGACCGTCATGGATTCGACGCAAGAGGGATTCCCGTGTGGATTTTGGGCAATGAGAGTAATGCGACCGGCGGTTTTCTTTAGTAAGCGTACAATGTCATTTTTGCGCAAACTTCCAGGCGCATTGCCACACGTATGATTGGTCTTGCTGGTGGAGATGCCCACCAGGATATCACCGACTTGCAGTGGCGCTCCCGAGACGTGAACGAGTCCATCTTGTGCAATGCGCGCAATACAAATGGCGCCGTCGGGTGTGTTGTGGAGTTCCAAACCGACGTTGGTGCGTTTGGATGTTTTGATAATGGTAGCTGTAATGCACTTGGCGCGTTGGTTGTGATGGTAGTCGGTCGTGGCGTCTGCTAGAAACGCAGACGACGAAGAAAAGTCGTCACTACTACTACCCTCCACACCATTGACGGGTGCCACTCGCGTTTGGAGTCGTCGTCGCGTGGGAGGAGGCTCTAGTGTCCCTTGCGACGGCGCTCTTAAGTTGGGCGGTGGTGGTCGAGCGGCAGAAGTACTGCGAGAGGGTCCTCGAGTGGGCAGTGGGGGAGGTACCAATTCGGTTGGCACAGTGTTGTTGTCTCCCTCGTAGTGCTCGTAATCATAGCGGTACGCGTCCCCTGGCGATGGGGGGAATGGCATTTCGCCGCGATCGTACAAAGTGGGTGTATGAGGCGTGCGTTCGGAGAATTCGTTCATAACGTTCGTATCGGGTGTCATGATGGAAATGATCTCTTGTTGTTGTTGTGCTTGTTGAGAGTTGTTGTAATGATGAAAATGATCCGGCACCAAGTAACTTTCCATTTGACTTTCTTCTTGGCTTTCGCGTAAGAGTTGATCGTGTACGGACCAAGTTTCTAGCTCGGCTTGGAGACGCCGTTCTCGATCGGCTTCTCGTTCGGCTACTTCGAACTGATCCTGGAGCTCATCCACATCGACCGGATCCTCCGACTCGGAAGCTTCGGCGGCCTTGTAGGGTTCCTCAATGGCAGCGTTGTTGTTGTTGTTGTATTCCTGGCTCACTTGGCGAACCAGTGGCTGTTGCTGTTGTTGTGGAAACGCCATGGGCTGAAATTGCATTGGCATGGGCATGTGAAACAGTTGATGAGGCGTTTGCATGGGCGTCATCATCATCATTTGTTGTTGTTGCTGCTGTTGCTGCATGCGTTGTTGCAGTTCCAGTTGGGCCCAGAGAAATTCAAACTCGGCGCCTTCATCCGCTAGAGTACTGCACTCGTCGCCCAAGGCACTGTTGACTGTCACTTGAAATGGAATCTCATTTTCCGTGTACGTGTCCCCAAAGAATTCTTCTTGTTCGTGCTCCTCTTCTTGCTCTTCTTCTGCTTCTTGGTCTTGTTCCAACGCGTCTTGCTCTTCCACTTCTTGCGAAATTTCCGCAGGAATGTCAAAATCCGTGGAACTGTTGCGCGGAGAAGTCGCCGTCGTCAGGGAGAGTTTGTACATGGTCGGCCTCTCTTCTTGTCAATTTCCAACCAATACTAGTATAATATGTCGACCAAAGTCAACAAACCGCTTCCGATTGAATGATCGGGCCTCCTACTAGCTACAGGAGTACTCCTTGTTTGACTGGTACCGTGTGTGTGTGCAGTGAGAACTACGACCGCCAACACGAGGGAGGTTGTCGGTGCGTGGGGTGGGGTGAAGCCATCAATCGTGGATTCACACTCTGTGGGGTGCCCTTTCCAAGTCTAATAGTGGATCATCACGATTACCTCATCTAACCAAACACACCATTATACAACCATCTCATTTCAAGGTTCCGAGCCAATCTTACATGATTAGACTAGCTACATGACAATGTAGTTAGGAGGTCGTCTTCCAGTACCGCTCCAGGTCCCGAAGTAATCCGAGCTCCTCATTGTCACATTTTTTGCCAAATAGACTACAATGACGTGCAGGATCTCAATCTCCTTGCGCGATGCGACGATTCCTTTTCTCTCTTTCTTGCCTCTTTATGAAGAAAGAAAATAATAGTTTCAGAAAGAACTTCCCATCAAAGCAAATCTGCATGCTTGCTTCTACTACGGTATTGTGAAAAGGCGTGCTCTTCATGATAGTCATTGCTTTTTGGTCGACAAATCGGCACAGAAAGGGACGGTCCTTTGCCCGGATCGTAAGAGTGCTTTCTTGTACCGTACGTACAGGAACGTGCACCGACAGATGCATGCTGAGAATGAAAGCTCATGGCGCATCCTACCGTACCGTATATACCCCGTTTCTACCCTGACCAATGATGCTTCTGATAAGATCACCAACCAACCAACCAATCGGATTACCAAGAACGGCTAGCTACCGGTACTAGTACCGTACCGGTAGCCCCGGCAGAGTGGAGAGCGGAGGGAAACGAAGGAAATTCTGAGCACTTACCGTATGGACCTTCGGTCATGGTGATCTTGCCAATGGTCCAAGGGACGGTTCAGGAGTCAATCCAGGTGATGGTCTTTGTCGTTGACCAGGCGGCAGGATCAATTGGTGGTCTCGTACGTCTCGTCTCGCGATGCACTCAGCACAAAAATAGGATATGCTAGCAGTTAAACTGGCTTATTACACACGATTTCCATCATCCGACGCAATGGCGGGTTTCGGTGGTACCAGTATTGACGATAGCATCATCTGCACCATGGACCCTTCAGCCCTGTTTGCCTCCTTTGATAACCCAGTGCCCACCAGCAGCTGGACTGTTTCAAAGAATCAGCCATTGGAAATGGTGTTGATGGCCAAGGCTGATCTAGAAACAGTCAAGATTTTCTACGAATTCAACCCTGATGCGTTGACCAAACAACTGTTTCGAAATGTTCTCAAATGTGGAGCCAAGCCAGGAGTGGTTGGTTTTCTTGCGGCACAGTGTCCTGCATTGGTGGATAAAAACGCCTTGGTATTAGCAATGATTCAAGGACCAGGACCAGGTAGACCCACTGAAAGTGAAATCATCACCTTGGCCCAAATCAATCCAGAGCTGTTGGTGCCAAAAGGACCAACATTTTGGATGCCAGGTCCTTTGCAATTATCCTTGAACTGGAAATACAGCCCAGAATTTTCTCAAACACTCTTCAAAATGCTTGCAGACAAGATACCATCAGTGATACGGTTCCCCAGAAACATGATCTTGGATTTATCCAGTGATTATCCCTGGCTTGTCATTGACGAAAACTCCACCACAAAACGGACAGCATTGGATATGGAGGCAGTGATGGGCATGACACCAATGCTGGACAGCAAGAACACCCACAAATTTGTGAGCCGGTGCGACAAATGGCAACCAAAAGCATTCTTTGATTTTGTCCACCGTCTACTTTCCAACCAGAGCATATGGGATCTTTCTCTGCAGTTCCCAGATGTCTCACAAAAAGAAGAAGAAGAACAAGGGAAGTCAATGTGGTTCAATACAGATGCATTCAAGGAGGTACTGTCACAGTGCAATATCAAATGTGCGGCATTGCGTATGGATCAAAACAATCCTTTTGCCCTTGACTTCCTAAAGAATTGCCTGGGAAGCATGCCCCGTCTGAAGACTCTGAAACTTCGTTTGGGCAATGATATTGCTCTTGCTTCAGCAACACCAGTAATCTGCCATTTCCTCAGTCACAACTCTCTGTTAAAGGTCTTAATAATTTATGCAAAAAGTGACACAACCACAAGAGGGCTAGATCCAATTCTCAATTCACTGGCAAACAATCATTCCCTTCGAGCATTTCACTACTTTCAACACGATGCGGCTTCAGACAGGTTCACAAGATACCACAAGGTTCTAGCCGACAGTCTCCACAAGCACAATACTACTCTTGCGAATGTTGGCTTCCATGATGTCTGCAGTGAGGACAATCCAAATGGCAACCTCCGCAGCAAACTCCATCCCAGTGATGACTTGCTTGCTTTTTATAAGGTTGCCAATAGGCTTGGTCGCAAGAAAGCACAGGAACCGGAAACCACCGTGGCCGAGTTTGTTGATCTTCTGGGGAGAGCACAAAACGACGATCTTAATTTGGGAACAGATGATTCACCATGCCTTGCCAGCGCTGATGATAAATTCAACATTCTCTATGGGCTGTTGCATGAGAATCCAGCCAAATGGAGCCACCAAACAAGCAACAACCATCAGCAAAGCACACAGTCAATCGTGTGTGGAAGCAAACGAAAGCACAGCGCCATGTCTTGATTACCCGAATATACCGATTGTCTTGTCCCTCTTTCTCCTGTTGGCCGCTGGAATGGCAGTAGCGTTTTGACTGTGTTTTGAAGCATTGTAGTGAAGATACTATTTTATAGCGAAGTTGCTGACTGCATGAGTCTATAGCTAGCTCTAACACAATTACGGTTGAGCTTGTTCCTCCTGTTGGTGTAGAAGTTCCTGCGGTAGATTGGGCTGGCACAGGTGTTGGGCGTAGTTGGGTGCATGGAGCGTAGTCCAAAGGATAGCCGATGAGCTGTTTCAGTCCGCTGTTGTTCCTCGTCTTTGATCAGGCGGCGGGATCAGGTTGCTGGTCTCTTCGCGCCATCATAAATGCACTACGGTACCGTACCAGAGAAGCGAGAAGCGGGAAAGCGCAAGAATGTAACTAATCCTGCCGTGAAGGCTGTTTCGTTTAACCAAAGAGGACTAAGCCAAGTGTCCCGGGATGGTTGGAGATAATATCTGTTTCATTGGCACCCTCTAAGGCTAGGCCAGACCATACCGGTATGCCTGATTTGTCTACGAAAACGGAGGCCTGGACCTAGAGGCTTGATCGGAGACTTCAGGTTAGTCCTTTTCTTGTTTCTAGTCTAGCAAAAGATTTGCTCGTTCCAGGCGCTTGGAAGGAAACCTATTGCAAGCGTCATACAGGCACATCATCACCTATTTTGGACACCAAGTTCCTAATGATGGTCCTCCCCGTTGGTAATTGCCTCAGTATTGAGCTGTGTTTGCTCGAGAGTCGGAGTACTACTAGACGTTGCTGCAGCTTGGATTGTGTTTCCATTGCTTCCCTCCACAATTGGTTGGGTTTCCTCGGCAGTCCTCGTAGAAGTTGAAGATATTTGCTCAGAATCTACTGTGCTCTCCTCAGCATTGGCTTGCGTCTGCTCGAGCCCAGGCATACTGGAAGTTGCCGTGTCTGGTGCCGCCGATGCAGATGCCGCGATGTCTTCGTTGCTTCCCCCTGCGGTAGATTGCGTTTGCTCAGTAGCCGGTGAAGTAGTTGAAGTCGTCGTGGCGTCTCGGTTGATTTCCTCGGCGGGTGCTTGCGATTGCTCAGAAGATGGAGTCGTCGTGGCAGATGTATTTGCTTCAATATCTCGGTTGCTTTCCTCGACGGGTGCTTGCGATTGCTCGGAAGAAGAGGAATTGGAAGAATTTGTCGCAATCGCAGCTCTGTTATTTCCCTCGTCGTTTGCACGTGCTGACGCAGAAGTAGAAGCAATCCTGTTTCTTCCGCTCCCTCTAGATCTTGGTTGCGCTCGCTCAGTATTAGTCTGCGTGGTACCCGTAGCAGAATTGGTTGTTACCGGGGCGACTTGGACTCCTGCGGCATCAAGGTCGTACCTATCAATGTAATCCACCTGGAAATGCATAGGTAGATTGATAATGATAGTCATGGGGATGGAAATACCAATGTTGCGCGCCAACGTATCATACAGATCGGAACCAAAAAAGATGGGCAACATCACTGCGCATGAAAAGAGGACCAATACGCTCCCCACGATTTGACCGATCGAACACCAGGCTCCCGCTCGATCCCTCCACCCGACCCAGGGGAGATTTGTCACTACCAGTCCCAACAGCACAAGCCACAGAGTTGAAACGGCCCCAATGTCATACCCGATTCCTGCCACTAAGGCCATGCCCACCACAAAAACGTTAGCAAAAATGTGAGCACCTTTGGCCGGAGACCATACCCGATTGAAGCAGGGGCCGATATAGTCAAGTGAGCACCTTGACTTTGGTCGGTTGTTTTCGGGAAAGTTCTTGTCAGGTCTTCGAAAGAACCGATGATTCATGTACCCTGGTGTCATGTACTCTTCAATGACAAGGTTGGTCTCCTGGACACTCTTGGCGAGGATAGTGACATGGGTTTCGGAGGTAGCGATGAGTGCTTCGGCTGCGGCTCCATCCAGCTGGGAACAGGGCATCCCATTGATTGCCAGTATGTGATTGCCTTCATTGAGGATGGAAAACGTCCAGGGTCCTGCTGGATCAAGACGAAGTATCTGTAGCTTGCGTTGTATGTACCGTAGTTTCAAACCTGTTTCACACCCTGGTCGAGGCTTGATAAGCATACATTCAATCAACCCAACCTTGCCTTCGGTGTGAACCACAATGGACACTGTTCCTTTAACGTAATCCAGAATGCGCGTGGCCTGTCCTCCATCGATGATCGGATCGCAGCTTCTACCATTAATGCCGGCTATTTGATCACCAACCCGAATTGGTGATTCTGCAGTCAGATCAGAGATAGGATTGGGATGTGAAGAGATGCAAGGTAAGATGTCATGTTCAATCAAGTAGGTAAAGACAATGGAACTACTAGTAGATCAGACTGAACTTACGAGCAAAGACAGAGTTCTTTCGAATATCGACGATCAACAGTTTTCCCTTGACAGATCGTACTTTGATTCCCACAGGACGCTTCTTATCACAGTTGCAGTCAAAGGCAGTAACCGAGATATAGGCTGCTCTTTCGTCGAGCTCTGATTGGGGACGAGGAAAATCCTCATCATCAAAGTCCAAAGCAACCACTGGCGTCGCGACCACGGGAGTTGCATGATTGGTTGGTACTTCGACATCATCTGTAGGCGAATTGGAAGACGATATGGCAATTCCAACGCTTGATCCCAGCAATAGGGATGGGGATGCCGGTAGCAGTGATTCCTCGTCATGGCCCAAATGGATAGTGGGTATCTCGCTAAACATGAACCCTTCTTCCAGAACTTCCAATTCCGCGGTTGCGAGAGTATCATCCAGATCACTACCAGCCGTCTTCTTGCCTCGGCTCCAGAGCCGCTGGAGGCTACCTTTCAGCTGCCAAACCATTGCTGAAAGCAGATATCTGAGACCTTTCTGAGATTTTAATGGAAGCGCGGAAACAAAATGGACGTGACCTTTTGAACTGGTGTGTTGCAAAATGTGAAAGTAAAGGACAGGCAGCAGCGATTGCGTTGGGAAGTGTGTTGGATACCCTTCCCTTCGCAGAACAATCGATCGAAATCTTCCCGTTAGACCATCAACAGCGTGGGAAACGGTCAGTTTATTCACGGATTGACGTTTTGTCGCGTCGAACTATGACATCACGTATGAGGCCATTTTGAGATTGGTTGTTAAATAGGTACGTGAACCAGATAAGTAAATAGACATAAAGCATTAGGGTGTGTACAGGTAACAAAAAAGCACGCACGCGAGCAAGAGGCTCTGAAACGTGTGACACACGTCATCATTCTTTGCAACCGACATGTTTAACTTGGTTATAAGAGACAAATTATCTATTAATAGTTCGAGTAGTCGTATACGTACTCAGTAGCATTACTTGTGTGTGTGTTTTGGAGCTTCGTATTCTTGGATACAGTACTAGCTAGCTAGTAGGCTAATAGATTTGACCCTGAGCTCCTTTCTCACAAAGCCAGAAGATTACCTCACAGATGCGCTTCTCTATCAGTAACCAATTCAGGATTTTAACAATAGCAAATGTCCTGCTAATTTCGAAGGCCCTACACCGTGTATGAGTTTTACTCCCTCTCCCTCTCAATGCCTTGATAAGAATCGACACCTGTATCCTCCATGGGAAGAAGTTTCTATTCCTTACTGTTTTGTGCATTGATGGCGGTAATTTTTGGGACAGATAAGCCAATGTTGTCTTCTAAAGTTCATGTATCTTGACTCCTTTGTTTCTTAATTACAGGTATTGAGTGTAGCAGAGCGGCACGTGCTGCGCTTCACACCTTCCACGCAAGTGAACATTACTTACCTGTCTTGCATTGTGAAAACAAGTTAGCAAGGTTGCTTGAGCATTTGGTTGGGTGTGAACTGCATTCTAACAGCACTTGGGGCCCTGAAATGGCCAGTTCATGAACACCGCAGCCAGCCTCATGAACCTGTTCCTGAACCTTTTCCTGAACCAAATCCTATTTTATGGTTAGCAAATGCAGGCCGAATTCTCGCATTTGAGAACGAGATAATCATATGTTGGGTCGCCAAACCAGGCACAAATGAAAGCTGGTGGATAGTTGGGTGAGGGTGGTTTTGCGAGTAAGGAAAGCGTTTGCTTACAACATGTAGCTGGAGATGAGTTGCCTCATTTGTGGTGAAGATTGCTCCTGAACCAATGTGAGTCAAAACTTTTTGTCGATATTTTAGTTTCGTGAACCTTGAACCTAGCTAGTTCATGAACCCTCAAACCCCCATAGACCACTTCATGAACGTTGAGTGGAAAAGTTTGCCAAATTTTGTAGTTTCGCGCTTCTTTCTTTATGATAGCTCTGTCCTTTGGAGCTGGAGGTCGTCGCATGCCTCAGTTTTGCCTCGCTTACTATTGTGAAAACCTTGAATGCCGTTCGCCACAGTATTACATACTATAATCTCGTTCCACCAATGCAATGCGGGTGGTATAGGCGGAATACCATTTTTGAATTCCATTTTCTTGTGCTTGGACGTGCTCGCAGTTTTGTTTCCAGTGCCGTATGGACGGCAGGTCCTTCCAATAAGAGACTGTGATTCCTAGACCATCCCTTGCCGACTCGACACCCAGATATCCCGGTTGCTGTCGAGCCAATTCGACCATGCGTTGTGCCGTTTTCCCGTACGCTTCAGTTTCGCTTGTTGTCGTCGTCGTATTCCGGAGTGATGTAAAAATGACAGCGTAATAGGGAGGTCGTGGAGTTTGGGCAATCTGTTCGTCGGGTGATTCATCTTTCGGCCTGTGTTTTTTAGTGTTCACAGGGGTATCTGCTTCCGAAGAAGATCTCTTGGTACTGGTAGCACTTTCCTGGCTGGATGCAGCTTTCTCGTTGTCCTCTGGGTCCGCCATGGTACCGCAAAAACCAGAGAGTCTCGGCTTTCCTTGCGCCTGATTATCTTATGCCAACGTCCCTTGAGAACCTGGCTGTTGCTTCGATCTCTTTGGGTGTTTGGTTGATCCAGAGGCTTCCTCCTTGCGTCAAACCCATTGGATGGATCATTGGCAGATCAGATAGAGTGAGGGTGCACGTCTCTCGAAAGATCCGAAAATTTGGGAATTCTGTAGCCATGGCCCCCTGAGATTAAGAAAACCGACCTCACAACGACAACTGGAGCTTCTCTTCGAGCCCCCCTTCGGGATCGGAACCGGAAGCATGGTTGATGTCGAAGAATGCAATTGTTCTGCGAAACCAAGCTGAAGGGACCAAGTCAACCAAGTCAACCAAGACAGCCAGAGAAGCTTGGAGTTGACAGCATTGTTTGCCTTTTCTTTTCCAAAGCAATCCAACGAAGAAAAAAGATATCGTCACAAAAAAGAAAGACCATGACAACAACTCGACTTGTGTTTGCCTCTCGCCACGCTGGTCGTCGACTGCTACCAGTAGTGGGGAGCCGTGTTACCCCCATTATTGGTGCTGCCGCGTTGTCGTCAGCAGATCATGTGGTTGTACCCATCATCAGTGGCAGAAGCACAACACCAATATCCACCCATCGAACTTTTGCCACGAACCATTCGTGTCAGTCCAACAACTACTACAAACTTGACAACAACAACAATTCTCGCTACTTGTCTTCGGCAGCACTCGAAGATCATGACTCGGATCATGACAGCAGTAATAATAATCCAATCATCCCCTTCAAACTAGCCGATATTGGAGAAGGCATCAAGGAAGTGGAGATATTGCAATGGTTCGTGCAAAAGGGTGACACGGTACAACAATTTGATCGCATTTGCGAAGTCCAGAGCGATAAAGCGACGGTCGAAATTACCAGTCGGTACGACGGACTCGTCACGGAATTGGCCGGTGGCAATGTCGGTGACATGGTTCAAGTCGGCGATGCGCTCTTGCACATTCAAGTAGAAGGAGGAAACGCTAGTACTAGTAGTGATGCTGCTACTGCCAAGAGCAGCACGGCTGCTACTCCCGAAGAAAAGTTGCACAGTCACGACACGGCCGATCAACAATTGCGCATTCCTCATGTGGCATCTCAATTTCATTTGGAATCTGATGATGCCGCCACCAAAACTACTGCTACCCAGAGTCAGCCTCCACTACTGACAACAACTATTACCTCTGGCAAAAAGGTTTTGGCTACTCCGGCCGTACGAAAATTGGGCATGGAATACAATCTGGACCTATCGACATTGGTGGGAACCGGACCACAAGGGCGCGTCCTCAAAGCAGATGTCCTTACCTTTTTGCGAGAAAGTGGTCGCATGGATGGTCCTGCCAGTAGTAGTGTGGACCCAACAAGTGCTCCAACCGTAACGACTCCTTCTCTGTCATCCACCCCTACTGCTTTGCTGGAGGATGAAGTCATTACTCTGAAAGGCTACCATCGTCTCATGATTCAAACCATGACCAAATCACAAGAGATTCCTCACATGGGATACACGGACGAATTCAACGTGACCAAATTGATCGATTATCGCAAAGACATTAACGCTGCCCACAGCAGCAGTGACGACAAGATTTCCATTTTGGCATTCTTTCTCAAGGCCACGTCCCTGGCATTACTCGAATATCCCATTGTCAATGCATCGTGGCAGGACGACGTGTCGACGGCAAAAGTCACGCTGTGGAAAAATCACAATATCGGCGTCGCCATGGACACGCCGCGGGGGTTGGTGGTCCCCGTGGTGCGCCATTGTCAAGAAAAGTCGTTGGTACAGATTCAACACGATCTCAATGTCCTCAAGGAAATTGCCGCCGCGGGCAAGTTGGGCGAAGAACACTTGACGGGTGCCACCATTTCCATGTCCAACATTGGCAGTGTCGGTGGCGGGACCTACATGAATCCATTGATTGTGCCACCACAGGCGGCCATTGGAGCCATGGGAGCCTTGCAGACATTGCCGCGATTTGATGCTGAGGGCAATGTCGAGGCAGCCAAGATTATCAATATGTCGTGGGCGGGGGATCATCGCATGATGGATGGTGCCACATTGGCGCGGTTCAGTAACCGATGCAAGGAGTATCTGCAAGACCCCGTTCGCATGCTGGTGTCCATGAAGTAGAACGAATTGTGTGACGTGACAACCAATCGGAGTTGCGCATAAAGAGGAAGACTTTTGGACGAGGAGGAAGAAAGACTCTATCCGTCGTCGAACAAGCTAGGAGTTTTAATTTCAAGAGGACCGGGATCATTCGAAGGCAAGATGACGAAAGGAATGATACTTTGGTGGACAATGCTATACATAGTAGATGCAAACGAATAAACAATATTAGAAGGCGTGCACATGAAGAGCCAGGGGCAGCTTAGTTATCGCCGTTTGCCACTACCCTTCTCGACGCACAAACTGAATGTCAGTCATGCTTGTCATGAGTGTCAGCTCCGTTGGCAAAGGGACCGGAGCATTCATTCACCCACAGGTGAGTTTCTCTAAACAGGTGAGCAAATCCAGTTCTGAAGGTACTGTGAGTTGACATCAGCCTGGACACTCTGCAGATGATCAGAGAGCATCCGAATCTCACTTCTTGCCAAAGTGGGGGAATGCATTTTCAAAGAGGCACACGGCTTCCATGTTGGTCAGCAACCATAGCTTCTCTGTCCTGTATCCTCCCCGCAAGGTAGAGCCACAGCACCCTGCCCTGTAGCATCATTGCTGCAACTCTGCCTTCTTTGCTTGCCTGCTGTGAGTTCCTCCCTTGTCAATAAGCCATGTTAGCTGTGATGACACAGGCCAAACCTCGCGAGAAACTTGCAAGGAAAACAAAAGAGGCAACAAGGTCAAGAAACTGATGATGGACAAGAAGGAATGCTGTTGAGTAGAATTGAATGGAATGAGAGGGGAAGGAAGCCGTCTCGGCTCCACACCACTCAGGCTAGCTAGCAACCTCACGCACTGCTGGGCTCGCTGTCGTTGGATCTGCGTTGTCTCTGGACATCGAGGTGCAGTGCAACAGTTATCACTGTTCCAGTTTTGGCATCTCCGATGAACATTGCTCGTTTCCAGCCAACCTGGAGTTGTGGTGCTGGAACGAACAGACGATTATCAATGCAACGAAAGTTGAACTAAAGCCCTACTAGCTACTACGTCGTACCCACAGCCCGGACCAGACTTCAATGGGGGTATGTTCCTATCCATACAATCCCTCCTGGCTACTAGCTAGAGCCACTACTAGAACTAATCATAACATGAATTGAAACCATGCATCTACGAAAAAAGACCAGTGCACCATGTTGGACTACTAGAGTATTCTTCTTGAGTTATTAGTATTCCATTTAATAAAATATTCTCTCGCCAGTTGCTTAGTTTATTTGTTATCACCACGTTCTGCCAAGACCTTCTTGACGGCCTTTTGTTCTTCCAACAAGAAGGCTCTCACGATGCGTTGACGGACACAGGCGTGACAGACGGCACCCCCGTAGCAACGCGAGACCGTGCGTTCGCGTTGTTTGGTTCGACGGTACATGGAGGACCGAAGGTGTTGAATTCCCTGCAGTGGCTTTTTGCAATCACCGCATTTGGGTCCATTGGAAGTTTTGTATGTGCGCTTGGCTTTCAATGTTCCACCGGGTGTTCGTACGGCAGACACCTTGTGTTGCCTTGTGTTGTACGAGTGGCGAGAAGTTCGCGTCCAGCGGCTGTCCGGCATTTTGATGGATTTTGGTTGTTAAAAAGAGAGAGAGAGACTACTGTGGAGGGTATCAGACAGAGAGGAACAGCAGAACAGTCAGTCAGTGAGAGATGTGCTATCATCCATAGAGCTACCACCAACATATCAGCATCATCATCATCATGGTCAAGAGCTTTGCTAGCTACGGTACATACCTGGATCTCAACGACACTGTCAACAAGAACAGAGTGTGTTGTTGTTGTCGTTGTTGGATGCTTTGGAAGAAAAAGAAATCACGCGGCTGTGCGCATTAGTATGGTTGTGGTACTGATTCTACACATAAATCACGTAGACATTTTTTAGTAAGAGGTGAAACCTGCTTTCGTAGATTTTGTACGTGACTTGTCTACCACCACTCAACTCTCAACTACTTGTTCCACAGCATCGAAGGCACTGTCACTGCATACTGCTAGTAGTATTTTATCACAGCGACTTGACCATGGCACGAACAGGATACGCAAAGGGAATGAAGGGAGGCCATGCCACCACAGAGATAGAGCAGAAGCCAAAGCCGTCTCACGGAAAGGGGGTAAGTTGCAATGGACGGATAGATGAATATTAGCGAGAGCGACCATGATGATGATTGTCATGCTCACCACGGCTGTTGCTAATTTCGCTTCTATTTCATACCGCAGCGCACTAGCAAGCGTGTGACTCTATGCCGTGAAATTGCTCGTGAAGTCGTTGGATTGGCTCCTTATGAACGTCGAATTCTCGATATGATCAAGACCGGGGGATCTTCCGCCGACAAGCGCATTTACAAGTATGCCAAGAGACGCCTCGGATCCCACAAGCGGGCTCTGGCCAAGAGAGAAGATATCAAGGAAGTCAATGCAGCACAAAGGGCACGACAGGCTGGTGCTTAAACACAAATTGCAAATTGGCAGTGAATGAAAACGACCGACGACTGTGAAAGTGTCATTTTGGTGATTCTAGAATGCTTCGTTGCCGTCCTCTGGTTTCGATAACCCTCCAGATGGGAGCAGCTTGCTTAATAAGCGATTATATAGTCTACTCAAATGGCAACAATCAAAGTTATGTATGACATTTCATGTATCTCCTAGTTAGAAATATAGGTTTTAGATGCCTTCAGCAGTGTCGTTGGTGGTATCGAGTAGTCAGGTACTCTTTTGTGGTTACTGCCCTGGAAGGTAGAGGTTGTAAGATCAAGGCCACACTGGAAGTTGCCCAATCGTCACGCCCTTGGCCCTGTTGGAACTCGCCAGAGCTCTTGGGATTAGTTGTGGTATCCTGGGGCCTTAGCTACCTGGTAGCTTGTAGACATCGAATTAATTATTCGTTCAAGGAAGTGATTGAGTCCTCGAGAAAGCCACGTGTATCTCAATGATCGTCTACTAGACTGGACCCCATATCATCCATAGTATGTACCGGTATTGTCTTTTTCCTCAAACGTCGCAACTGTCTGATGAGCCCAATGCAATACCGATCCACTCCAGGCAGCCCGATAGACTGAACTAGCGAAGCTTCGCTGCACAGTTGTATCTTCTGCCTGTCGTTTACCTAGCTAGCCAGACGGCCAGATGGCCTTCAACAACGAAAACTGGCTGGTAACGAATAATCCAATCCTCTCCCTGCTCTGACCAGTCCATCTCTATTGCTATGACAGCCACAGCACCCGTAGCGGTAGCTCACTTTTACGGGTACCCTACTAGCTTGCAGGTAGAGAGTGAAATCGTCGTCTAACTAAAACTAGCTAGTTTTTAAGTGACTCGACTCAGTCGGTGATTTAGACGGGAGATAGAGAGCGCTCTTATCGTCTAGCTAGCTAGCTCTCTCTAGCTAGCTAGAGTACATGTAGCATTCCCCTTTCAATCAACCCACCAGCCACGCGGCGAATGAGCGTCATACCTGCATTAACCCCTTTAATAAAACCCCAAGCCGCTGCTAGCTAGCTAGTTCAGGTCGAACGGTACGTTCAAAGTTCGTTTTCTTTGGTCTGCTGCAACTAACTCGGTGGCGTGGGGGTCGCTTTTGGTTTCATGGCAGTGGATGAATGGATGAATGGCTATCTGTGAAGAATACATGAATTGGCCGGCTCTACTTGTACGAGAAAATTCCTTTGTATTTGTTCGTTTGCTAGTGAGTTTTAGGCTAAATAGCTGGTGAGTATGCATCATCTCTCCCTATGTTTGTTCACTTTCTATGAGCCCCACAGTGCATATTGTTTTTCGCTGTCTTGCTGCATGGTTCTTGGCCTATCATTATTCCTCTTCTTCTAAGGAGAGATCTGGTCACAAGGATAGGGTAGAACATATGTGTCATAACCATCCGCCTTCCACAAACTTTCAACAGGCCTACACAAGACGCCTTCGTATGCAGGCAATGTTACAACATGTAGTCTATTATCATGAATTAACTTTTCGTAAAAAGTAGCACCCTGGCCGTTCCACGCATCTGTCGCCCCCTGACAGTCAGTTAATCAATCACTCAATGGACATGGCTCCGGTGCTGTCGTCGATATAACGCGTAGGATTCCCAGTTCGACGACGACGAAGAGGAGAGATTCTTTGTGTTTCTGGGTCCTCGTTTACCGAGCCCGCGACGCTGTTCGGGATTCGATGCCACGGAACGGATATCCGAAAGAGACTTGGAAAGGCGACCACTCTTGGCAGTCGACGACCGACGACGACTCACGGAATCATCCCGCCCCGAGGATCGTTTATTCTTGCGCACAGCGGTAGCCGTCGTATCGGTGGAGCTGGTGCGATTGGGGAGTTTTCCAGTCGACTGTGGGGCGGATGCTCGTGCATTCTCCGACGCTCCGGCAGCATTGTCCACCACCAGCATGAACGTAGAGAGATCCGGCAGTGGCAAGGAAGGCTGATCGGCACCGTCCGAATCATCGGTAGTGGCGCCACGACGAAGCAAGGGCAATTCTGGTTGCAGATCTTGAAAGGAGGCATCGCATGTAAAGAGAGTCGCGTGGCTGTCCTCGTGGGGTTCCAATGGAGGCAAGACAATGGCGTACAAGGGAGGCATGTCATCCTCGTCTTTAGGGTCGTCAAGAACACCGTCGTCGTCGCTTCCAAAATAGGACGCCATGTCGCGTCCCACTCCGACCGCCAAGGAATCCATGCCGCGAGAAGCCATGCGTTGCATGGGGGCACGACCGAGACTGGCAATGTTGTTCGCGATGGAATCCTCGTCGTCGTCGTCGTCCGCAACGGAAAGCATGTCATCAATCTGGTATTCTTGCCAGAGACGACGTTCGTGAGAGGACATGGTTTCCAGGGAGGTTCGACGACTACTCGCGTGGGCTTTTGAAGACAAGGACAACGTATTGCCGCTTTCTCCGACGGTCGATTCGTCATCTTCAAATACATCAATGCTGTTGGCTCCTGTGGGCATGCTGCTTCCAGCACTGACATACGAGGATCGGTTGGCCCAACTGGTAAGAATGGACGATGTGTAGGCGTCTTCACTTGTGCTGGGATGTTCGTCATCATCGTCGTCTTCTTGAAAGATGTAATAATCGCAAGTCAGGAGAGAGACGGCGTTTTCATTGTTGTTGAAGCTAAAATCGAGTACATCGAGGAGAGGAATGCTGGAACTGCTAGCTTCCAGCTGTTCTTGTTCCTCCTGCTCTTCTTGTTGGTCAACGACGTAGTCATGTTCCTCTGTGTGCAAGATATGAGTAGGAGCGGGTAGATCGGGGCTGGTAGGCAGATCGGTTGGCACGTTCTTGCTCGAAGGAAGATTTCGGAACCACGAAATTTCTACGACCGCTGTTGCCGTGATGTCGCTGCATCGGATGCTTGGACGATCGAGGTGACAAGACTTTGTCAAGGATTCAATGGAGTTGGCCTGGAAGAAAGCTTGATACTCCATCATGAGATGATCGTGGTTGCTACCGCTACATGGATCATTGATCCCATTGTCGTGGTGGGAGCAGTAGCAGAGAGGACTGTTTGCACACATTGCCATAGTTTTGCTTTGCTTCGTCAGCCGAGATTGTGAGATAAGCAAAAGATCCAAAGCAGATCTCAGGTGAAGGGCGAAGGAGAGATCCACTCGCGAGAGACATCTCTAGAAACCGTGGCTGGAGTCATTAGGTGAGCTAGAGAGTCGTTCCCCTGTCTCTTCTCGGAAGTGTGGAGCTAGAAATTTATCTAATGGGCCAAGATCCTCTTTGTTTAGCGCTGTTAGCCGCTGACAATCCCTGAAACACAGATCTTTGACCTCTCAAAGATAGCACACATACATCAGCTGCATCAGCTCACATCACCAAGCCCAAAATAAATGATGGTTGGAAAGTGAAGCGATGAAGCTGGACGAAGGTATGTGTAGACTTAGATAAAGTTCACCTGGTAGAACTAAAGGGTCACTTTACGATCGCGTTCTTTTTTGACAGAGGTTTCTCTGCTTTCTTCTACTCAAAAAGCTATAGTTCCAATGGAATCCCAGTTCAACACGAGCTCCAAATGACCGGTACCAAGCGACCAACAGCCACTCCAATCTCCAGTTACGGCTGTACAGTAGTAAACATCGAAGCTGAGCTCGAAACAGCTTCAACTTCAAACACATGGTCATCACCCTGCTCAGCACGAGCTCTGTTGATGCACACATTATAATTAGACAGAAGCAAGAAAGTTTGTAAAAAGCAAACTCCATTCAGCTTGCGTCAAGTCAAGTCAAAGGCATTGCCGCTCGAGTTCCAAGTGGCTGCGCACGAAAGTCGCCGTTGTCTGCTCTGCCTGCTATTCTCTGCCATTCTCTGCCTTCCTCCTCTCCACTCAACAGATAAGATGATGAACTTTATTAGAGTACGAAATACTAACTATATAGCTAGCTAGCTAGTAGCACTTACTTGTGTCCGAGAGGTGAACTGTGTGGGAGTCGGTTTTCAACGATCAGCTATTTTTGCCAGGTGGCAACTGAGATGGCCTCGCGGGAGTAGATTTGGAAACGAACCCAGAAAACCAGCCATCATTTGATAGGTACGGTATCATCGAGCCATCGAGTTGGCTGTCTACGCACGCACTTTGTGGTAGAATGGAGCCATTCAACAAGGAGCAATCTGGCTCTTGCGCTGCTTTGGTTGCTCTTGGTATCACATTGGCATGGGAGCTGTTTTTGTGGTCGGGGTGGGGCTGTTTATTGTCAATCACGAGAATGACGTGCAACTCATGAATCGTTAAAGATCCACGTCTCAGGGTTCCGGATACGACTTGACCCTTGGCCAAGCAGCAATCAATCCATTCCCATGTTCGCTCCGTCGCTCCAAGGTTCGACTGAGCCTCTGTAGACAGCACAACCACCCAAGAGCATCCGTTGCGTGCATTATTTTTTACTGACGACACCAAGAAAGAAGAAGAATAGAAAACAGACAACAGACAAAAGCAGGCAGAACAATGTTTGGCGTCCGCAATAGCAGCACAGCGATGGATGTCTTGAACGACGATCGATTGACTCCAGCCCAAAAGTCGGCGTACTGTTATGACCATGGGATCTGCGACAAGTGCGGCATCAAGACTCATTGGATCGGTCCCTTCAAGCGACGCCCGTACACCAACGAGCGTGTCTGGAATGGAATTTGTCGGTTTTGTCGACCGGGGGAATGTCCTGCCTACGAGCCACCTGCAAATAACAATAAGAAAGTGTTTCCGAATTTAGCCGCCGATGAATTGTTTGCCAAGGCCACGTCGGCGTTGGAAGAGATTCAGACGGGAGTGACAGTGGGCGTCAAGGAAGGTGTGGTAGTGATGAAAGGAGGCATCAACACGTTGAACGACAGCATCAAAAAGGAGACGGAGAAAATGAATCGAAGCATGACGTCCGCGTCGTCGGTGAGAAGCAGTGGCAGCAACAACACACAGCAAGCACGACCATTGAATCTATTTGGTCAAACATCATCCACTCAAAGACAACAACAACCATCCCAGCAACAGCAACAGCAGCAACGATCACAACGATCCTCCCAAACAACAAAGCCCAAAATGAACATTTTTGGCCCCAAACGCGACAATGCCCCGCCACCTCCGCCCACGCAACCGGCTTTTTCCAATTTGAAATCCAAGTTTCAAACCAACGAGGAAGGCAAAGAACTCTTGTTGCAAGACGAAAGCACGGCGGCGTCTTCAACAACGCAAGTAGAAGATTTGGATGGAAGCGCCGTCAAGGGCAAACTGGTAAAGACACCGTTTGGCAAGGGGCAAGTAGTCGATTATCGCTCGGAAGATGATATTTATGTCATTGATTTGCATCATCATGAAAACAACAACAGCAGCAATACCACTCAACAACAACAACAACCACCAGCCAACAACACCAAATTGTTTTGCAAAAAGGAATCATTCTCTATTGAACATGAAAACAAGAGTCGACAAAAGAAATCCATGGAACTCAACGAAGCCTACGAATCACTCGAGAAAATGAGACGTCTCAATCTCGAAGTGGAATGTCAAGAACGGGGTGTAAATGTGGCGGTGGATTTTGACATGTGCACCGTCTGTCTGCTCCATCCTGAATTATCACGCACGCAACAACAACAAAAATCATTTCCTCGCATTCGACAAATGATGCAAAACAATCAAAAGGTGTCGGCCAGTCCGTGCCTCTTTTGTGCCGCACCCTGTTGCAGCGATCACGCCAATCAAGCATTCCGCAAGGAACACATTACGGCCTGCGAAGACTGCTGTAAATTGTTCCAATCGGAATATGTCGTCGATTGTATCAATCAGGCACATGGCGTTCACGCGGAAAAAGTTGTACAACATGGAGATGTCATGCAGGAACGTCCGTTGGATCACATGATGGATTTGTACGATCGGGTGCGCCTGCTGTTGCAATACAGCAGTCAGTACATTGAATCCATTGCGGTGGCGTTGGAAGCCAACACGAAAAAATACAACAATGTCAATGTCGGTGCATCGTCCGCCGGAATGGTGTCGGGTGCATTGGGTGTTGCGGCGGCGGCCGCAATTTTTACTCCGGCCGGTCCGCCACTGTTGGTGGCGTCGCTGTTGTTGGGGGGTGGAGCCACCACGGTGCAAACGGGAACTGAAGTGGTCAATTACTTTTCCGAGCCAAACAAATTCGCCGACAAAATCATTGCACTCGTGGGCATGCTCCATTCCCTCTTGCGCGTCAAGGAGAATCTGAGAGAAATATTGACGGCGCGGTTGTTGGAACAAGAGGGCAATCCCGAGATTGATCGATTGAAGAAGAGCCTCGTCAAACTCAAGGAAAAGCAACGAGAGGCTGCTTTCAAGGCGGGAACCACCGTGGCCAGCACGGCTGTCTTGGGTGGAGTGGCCATTGCGGAAGTGGCTGCAGCTGGCGCCACCATCGAATCGGCAGCTCTCATGTCCTCAATCGAAACGGGAGTGTTGGCAGGACGCAATGCCAACATGATATCCAAGAGCGGAACGGCGATTGCTCGCGGCGCACGTTTTGCTCGGTTTGCGGGTGGAGCGCTAAGTGCGGCCACGTTGGTCTTGGAAGCCCGTACCATGACGACAACGATTGAACAAATCAAGGCTGGACATCCCTGCGAAAAAGCTGATGCCTTGCGTGCTATCCTGAAAGAACTGCCGACACTACCCACGACGGATCAACTAGACGAGGAATGCCGTATCTACATTGGTGCCATGTCGAATCGAGTGAACGCAACCTCATTAGAAGACGCCATCAATCTGATTGAAAGCAAAGCGATTCAAGAGTGGCAGCTCACAAAAGCCAGCACTCAAGGCCAGTCGCAGGAAGAGTCCGCAAACCAATACATGGCGCCGGCGGGGGCATCCATTTTGGAGGGTGATGAAGATGGCAAAGAAGGCGGCGACGACAATGACGAACTTGCCCTGTTGGGTTCCGCTTTGAGGGAGGCACAAGAACAACGCAGCTTGGCCCAATCCATGTCGGGACTACCACCACCAACGGGACCTCCGTTGGAAATTGAGACGGCTTCGGTGTCGGATTCGGTTTCCGTGTTGTCCGCACCACCCAAAATGTCTCAATCTCTGACACAGCTACCTTCGTCCTCAGATCCAGCTTCTCCAGCGACTCTTAGCCAATCGACTCTATTTGAACGCATCCAGAGATTCAAGCAGGATGACAGCGTTGCCTCAAGCGTCCATTCATCGTCTGCTGCTAACAATAACTAAGGACTATGAAGAGTTTTTTGTACTGTGGCCATCACAGCCGTTCGCATTTGTTGACTTTACGGATAACCAGCTACTTCAAGTACATTTGTTGCATTCCCCAAAAAGCACCTCTCTGCTCTGCTCTGCTCTGCTCTGCTCGGAGCAGAGCACCTAGACTAGCCGCCGCCACAGCATCTTGCAATATTATTGGCGATTGGCCCCTTGCCCCTTGGCCCATTGATTTAACACTTCTATCCACAGCGTAGTGGGGTCAGCCTGAGTTGAATGTCTTTGTCAGGGGCCATGACGGATTCCGCAACAATCTTAATTGGTGGGTGGTAGGGGCCAGTTCAAATTCAAAGGTCTGAAGCAACTTGATCAGCATGGCATACGATAGGACTTCACTGTAGTGTCTTCCAGGGCAGGATCTTGCACCATGACCAAATGCAAGAAATGCCGATCCTCTATTACAAGGATGCACACACTGCCACTTGGGTTCAACCTTGTTGCTCGTGCTGTCCTCGTTGACAGGTACAAGATATCGGCGATAAGAAAACAGATGTGGTGGTGCGTTGTCAGGGCCACAGGGAATACCTTTAGCAGGAGTGTCCTTCTGGAGCATGATGTGCCTTGCAAAGATAAGGACATCAGTGCCTTTTGACAAAGTTGTTTCCCCAAACGGGATCTCACTTGATACTTGAAGGGCAAGAAAAGGTGTACAGTGGTACCTATGAACCTCATGCAGGAATGACTTGAGCAGTGGTGCTTTGGTGTAATAGTCCTCAAGGGTTGCTGCCTCCAAATCAAAGTCCCTGATGTGATCGCTAAGCTCACTTTGCAAATCCTTTTCAGATGCAAGGATAGACAAGGCTGTGATCAATGACATGCAATTGATTTCAGCTCCTACATTGAGAGAGCATTAACAGGGAAGCTCAGCACACACAAATACACACACTTCAATTGGAGACGAAACACACAAAAACAAGCATTACCTGCAACAAATGTAGTCAAAATGTTTCCTACAATTCGCTGATGGGTGATTCTTGAATTCTCTTTTTCCATGGCTTCATAAAGCTTCCCCAGAAAACCTTTGGACTTCACAGCTCCATGATCCCATTCTGGGTTCACAGCACGCTGCTGTTCGAACTGGTCAATGATTCCTCCAACAGAAGCCATACCACCACGAAGATTTGTCCCAAAGCCATCAAGATCTTGACCACAGAAAGGAATTCGCCAAAAAGGAATAGGAAACAGGGGCCGATAGCTAGTGTAAAGTTGCTATTGATTTGAGGACTAGGGAGATGATTGGGGATGTTGAGTGATGCAAGGCATTCAGCTCACAATCCAAGATCACCTTCCCAACACTATCAACAATTGCATGCATCAAGTCTTGGTTCACCGTCACAACATTATCAGGGCTTCCCTCTGCATCAACTTCCCACTTTTGTGTCAATGCTGCAGCATTTTCAGTGAGCATGGGAACATAGTCTCTCATGTGAAGTCTGTTTAAAGTAGAGGAAACCAACTTCTTTTCCTGTTTCCATTGCTCTCCTTCAGCAGTGGACAGTCCAATGCAACCCAGACTATTTATTGCTTTTTTGAAGTTTGAAGGACGAGTGACCTTGAACGGTCTCTGACACAAGATTTCCATGGCACAGTCTTCTCTGCACACTGCTAGGAAGTTTTTCCCTAGAACTTCAAATTCAAAGCATCCTGTTTCTGCTCCATGTTTTTCTGCCCACTCCTCAAGAACCTCAATGGCACGATGTCGTCCTCCTGTAGTGAGAATGGCCCACAATGGGAAGCCATCCAGGTGCCATCCTCCAGTGTTTCTTAGTTTTTTATGGGAAAGCAAAATAGGCGGCCACCACCAAGACAAGAACCGCCATGGTCAATTTGGGCTGGTCAATAAGCACGTTTTGAAGCAGTTCCACGATCAAACTGCATTGTATGAGACGTCGAGGCAACTGTGAGGTCCGTGGAATTGGGAAGTGTACTAGTGCAATGTGTTTTTGTTCTGATGGGCTGACACGAGCACTTGTCGATTTCGCTGAAGTCTCACAGAACGTGGAGTGACAGTCAAAGGTCGTCGTAGCATACCGGTAGGTACAGTACCGGTATCGTGCCGTCGCGACGCATGATGCTTGTCTCCGGAATTCGCAAAACACATGTACTATGCATAGTACCGTACCGGTGGGCAGTCAGGGCGACCCGGAAAAAGGCACGAATGAGGTGTTGTAACGGTTTACGGTGGAAGTCATAGTTTACCCACCAACACACAGTTTACTCATGAGTAAACTATAAATCGTTGTTCCCCCATGACTCATTAGTAAACTAGCTGTTTACCCATGACTCGTGGGGAAACAAGCTGTTTACGCATGACTCGTTGGGAAACAAGCTGTTTACCCACGAGGTTGTCGTTTACCCTTGAGTCTTTAAATCTTACTAACAAAATCAAACTGTTTCCCCACGAGATCCTTGTTTACTCATGAGGAAACAGCACATCGGTTCAGAGGTGCGTGACAGGGACATTAGCGGCCCGGCGCGATCACAATATTATTATTATTCCACAACTCCTTTCGTTCCGAGGCTCAAAACGACACAATGGCGCTGCTGTGGCTGAATAGACGCCGTTATCTGCCTTGTTTTGGCTGTTAAGGTTCACTAGGAGTACCATGGAGTCCAGCTGGTGAGTGGCAGCGCTCAGTTTGGTCGATTTGTTAAGTTTTTGGGGCTACAGAGACCAGAATTGTCATCGATTTCCGGCCACCCTCGGAACGATGGGTTGTCTCATCGCTAGTTCTGGCCAAATATGCTACCCAATGCATCCCACGTTGTTATAGGGTCAATGTAGTCACGCAGTGACATTCTTGATAAGATGTAATAGTGAAACAATCAATTTCTAATACGATTTATATAGCATTATAAGTATTCCGTGCGAAGACGGCACCCATCACCCAACCGATTGTCCTCTCGGAAAACGGTTGACCAAGATGACGGCACCTTGCTGAAGCAAACGAACTCGAAATGGTCTTTCCAAGATGCCTTGATCACATACCCGTTAATAGATTGAATGAATCCGTCAGGAAGAGAGAGACTGTCGACGACATCTCCTCCGGCCGGAGCACTGTCAGCTGTCTTCATTTTGGTTGGATCTTTGTTGTAGGACCCTCTTTTCTTTTGCGAGAAACGCTCATTGATGCTTTCGAACGTCCTTTCAATCTCAGGTCTGGATTGGAGCATAATTCGTCTGTAGATCGTGTGGGCTCTGTCTTCTGTCGATGTCATGCATTTCAGTGGGTCCCTAACCTTTTCAATGCATTTGTGGGAAGACTCGAATCCTTCCTCCGAGCACCTTCCAAGCATTCCATTGGTTCGGACAAATTGGGGTATGTGAGTAACTAAGACATGCAGTTTGTTGAATATGGCAGGGTCCTCGTTGTCGCCTCCAGCAAAAGAAAGCCAGAGCTTGGCATACTCTCGTGCTGTTGATTCAAACTCTTCGCATTGTTCTAGGGACCACTTCCGCTGGCTCTTCATTGTCACTGACATCCAGTAGAGCAAGCTTGCGAGCTTCAGGTAGGTGTCCATCATCTTGTCGACAGCCTGCTGCATAGGAAGATTGTCGTCAAATACTCTCTTCATTCGATCGACTATTTTTTCCCTCCGTTCAAGCACTCGGATGCCATCCCCGTTGGATAGCTCAAACCCACTGTTTTCGACTCTGAAACCAACTCTCCCATCAACTTCATAAGCTTTCCTAAAACAATATGTGGCTGGACCAACAATTCTGCTCTTTGTTTTCTTTGCTACACCTCCCAAGAACTCACTTCCTTTTTCAATGAAGAGTTTGGCTGCATCTCTTGCTTTGGTCTCGGCCCGCAACTTGGATGAAATCGTTTCGCGCTCTGCTTGCAGCTGTTCGACCATCATGGGTGCCATTGATGCTGCCGCCTTGATATCTCGAGCTATCTTTGCATCCGTCTTTCGGAGCTTCTCTGTACTGTCGGTAGCTGTTCGCACGTACTGCTTCGCCTCCTCAACCATGTCGGTCAACTCCATCAGCCACGGCGTCGATTTGTCAAGCTCGCCCAAATATTCCAACACCTTCAGCGTGCAATGTGTCAACAGCCCACTCGAGACATGCATTCCTGAGCAAGAGTTTAACTCTGGCATCGTGTACAGCAGCGGCTCATGGACAACGCTGTGGTATTTGAGTTTCAGTGCTCTGGCTCGTCCTGCCGAATTCAACCTCACCCATTCAACCAATCCCTTTGCATCTGCTATAAAGGCCTCATAGACATTTGGGTTTGCGAGATCTCCCTCTCGATTCGGAGCTTGCTCATTCGGAGGCGCCGTCAGATACGATGCAAATTCTTTCTTTCGTGCGATGCAGATTGTGCAAGGGCACATTACAGCGGCAGTACCTTGCCCCATGAGCGTTGTGTTGCACTTTATATCATCTGATGTGA